TCCTCGGCTCACTGCAAGCTCCGCCTCCCGGGTTTCAACGCCATTCTCCTGCCCTCAGCTCCCCGAGCTAGCTGGACACACAGGCGGCCGCCCGCCCGGCTTCTTTGTTGCACGTCTTTTCTCCCTCGAGACGGCGGTTTCCAACCGGTGTTACGCCGCGATGGTCTCGATCCTTCCTGGACCGCTCGTGATCCGCCGTCGTTCGGCTCCCCGCCAGACACCAACAGTGTGTCCTACAATTAATTCTTACACTCTGTCTTTTTTTTTTTAAAAAAAAAACAGGTACAGAATCTCCACAAAGATGAATTCCCTGGGACAATTTTTTTTTTTCAGAGATGAATTTCGGAGAAGATGGAGGGGCGGCCACTGGTTGGCAACAAGTTTTTTTTTTCTGGGTGACAAAACCATGTAGAGAGGAGGGACGGTGCCTTCAGAGCCGGGGAGGGGCTGCTCTGCACGGGAGTCGCACCCAGGGCACGCGAAGGGTCCTGGAGGGTCGGTTCTTTTTTTTTTGCCACAGGTGTTTGCTTTATAGCATTTAAACTGTGCACTTGTTTTATTTTATTTTTTTTTTTTATTTTTTACTTTTGAGATGGAATTTCACTCTTGGTACCCAGGCTGGAGTGCAGTGGTGCAATCTTGGCTCACGGCAACCTCCTTCTCCCGGGTTCAAGCGATTCTCCTGCTTTTTTTTTTTGAATAGCTGGGATTACAGGTGCCTGCCACCATGCCTGGCTAATTTTTATATTTTTTTTTTAGACCGGGTTTCACCGTTTCGACCAGGCTGGTCTTGAACCCCTGACCTCAGTTTTTTTTTTCGCCTCGGCCTCCCAAAGTGCTGGGATTTTAGGTGTGAGCCGCTGTGCCCGTTTTTTTTTTTTTTTTTTGTTGTTTTCTATGATGCATTATTTTAGCTATTGGGCTATTTTTTTTTTTTTTTGAGCCCGGAGGACTTGGTGACTGTTTTGAGCTTGTGGGGGTGAGCTGGATGACTTGTCCCCCAGGCTCTGACATGGGAGCTGGGAGTATGAGCGGATGTTTACCACGACCAGTGCGGTGGGACACACACGTCTCAGCCTGGGAGTTGGACTCCACCCTGCTGGCAGGGTCACTCGGCCTGGGCCACCCCCTGCTGCAGTAACACCCAGCGAGGCTTCAGAAGCACAATGTCCTTTTTTTTTTTTATTGCCGCCAGGCACAAGTTGCCACGAGGGGTGGCGACCCTAAGGGGGTGAGTGGGGTCCCCCACCAAGGTGAACCCTGATGGCGGCTGTCTGCCCAGGGCCAGATCTCTCCTTTTTTTTTTAGGGCCAGGCCTGGGTCCAGCAGCACCTTGGGTGGCAGGAGGGTCACCAGCTTTTTTTTTTAGGGCAGTACTTGTCAATGAGCCCCTGGTAGTAGGGCCGCAGCTTGTCCACGTCCGGCAGGTCTGGGCACTTGGTGTAGAGGTCGAACTTGCTGCAGCAGGGAGAGGTGGTATTTTTTTTTTAGAACCCCCAGGTCCCACCCCCGCCGCTTCACTCCCACAAGCCCCCTCGGCGGGGAGGGCCGTACTTGAACTCCTGTACCCAGGGCAGCATGGCCAGGTCCTGCTGGCTGCATTTTTTTTTTTAGTCGCTGCCCGTGTGCCAGGGGTAGAAGGAGTGGAACCGGATCATGTAGTTTTTTTTTTGGCAAGCCATACCCAGCAGCTGTCTCGGCTGCGGGACAGGGCCTGGTGGCCAGGGCCGGGCTGCCCCTCCCCCCACCTACCTCCGGGGGCAGTGAGAACTTGTTAAACTTCATTTTTTTTTTCATGTACTCTGTGGGGAGAGGGTGTCACCACCAGGCACCACCTCTGCCCCATTTTTTTTTTCTGCCCCAGTCTGGCCTCACCATCGTGGCCCCAGGACATGAGGACCCTGTCTTTTTTTTTTTGGGGCTGATACATGCCGAGTTCTGTGCTGCAGTGAGATACCAGGGTGAGGTTTTTTTTTTAGCCGCCCAGGGAGGGGAGCCCAGCCCTGGGCAGCGGGAAGCACCTGTATCGAGGATCCTGGAGGTCAGGGTTGTCCTGGAAGGTGGAGTCGCGGAAAACCACGGAAGCCTGTTTTTTTTTTCCGACAGGGAAGGTGTCTCCGACGACCGCCCACTGCAAAGGGACAGGCAGTTTTTTTTTTTTGGGGGCCATGGGGGTGCACTGGCCTGCCCCGCAGGTAGTATCCTAGGTCGTTTTTTTTTTCCACCAGAGGGACAGGCAGTTGTGGGGGTGTGGGGGCCCGTGGGGGTGCACTTTTTTTTTTCGCAGGTAGTATCCTAGGCCGAGCACCGAGGCCACCAGAGGGACAGGCAGCTTTTTTTTTTCCGTAGGGGGTGCACTGACCGGTCCCCCAGGCTGAGCACCGAGGCCACCAGTTTTTTTTTTAGTCGTGGGGGGGCCGTGGGGGGTGCACTGGCCGGTCCCCTAGGCCGAGCATTTTTTTTTTCAGAGGGACAGGCAGCCGTGGGGCGGCCGTGGGGGGTGCACTGGCCGGTCCTTTTTTTTTTGCACCGAGGCCACCAGAGGGATAGGCAGCCGTGGGGGTGCCGTGGGGGGTGTTTTTTTTTTTCCCATAGGCCGAGCACCGAGGCCACCAGAGGGACAGGCAGCCGTCGGGGGTTTTTTTTTTGTGCACTGGCCGGTCCCCTAGGCCGAGCACCGAGGCCACCAGAGGGACAGGTTTTTTTTTTGGGGCTGTGGGGGGTGCACTGGACTGTCCCACAGGTAGTATCCCAGGCCAATTTTTTTTTTCACTCCGCCCCCCCAACCTTGCCTCAACATGCAGACCTCCTCACCCACAACCACCAGCCCTTACCTGGGGCTCCCCGAACAGGGCCAGGACCTTCCCCAGGTCGTGCAGGAGCCCAACAAGGTGGAACCAGTCTGGGAGGGGGATGGACAGGGTAGGTTGGGAACTGCAGGGGTTTTTTTTTTGGATGAGCAGGCTTGCGGGGCTGAGAGCCAGGGGGGGCCCAGGGCCTGCTCCCCAACCCAGGCAGGGCTGCTGGAGGCCTGGGCCCACCACTGCCCCCTTCCACTCTATAGGTTTTTTTTTTCTGCCCCTTGGAGGCAGCACCTGCCCCCCTGCAGCAGAGCTGGGGCTCACCTTTTTTTTTTTGGGCCTTCCGGATGCCCTCTGCTGTCTGGAAGGCATGGAAGGAGTTGGGGAAATCTACATCTGGGTCCGACTCGTCCACCAGCCCATCCAGCAGGTCCACAGCCTCCATGATTTTTTTTTTCTTGTAGGAGAAGCCCCCAAACTGGGCATGCTGGTGGGGAAGGAGAAGGCAGCGTGGCCCAGGGTCAGCAGGCCCACCGCACAGTCCTCTCCATCCTCTCAGTGCCTGGTGGTTTTTTTTTTTTGAGGGCAAGGGTCCTCCGCGTTTGCACAGGGCGGCAGGAAACGCCTACCTTTTTTTTTTCGAAGTCCACTGTCTGGTGCGTGTGCATGAGCTTGTAGGTGGTGAAGACACTTTTTTTTTTGGGACCCGACTGCAGGCCGGAGGGTCAGTGGAGGCTGGCACTACCCCCACCCTGCACACAAGGCACCGTGCCTCCCCTCTCCCAGGCAGCCCCACAGGGTGTGATGGGGGTGTTTTTTTTTTCAGGGCACCTCCTGGAGCTGTGTGAGGGGCAGGTGCTGCTCCCCAGGGTGTTTTTTTTTTTTCGGGGGGCGGGACGTCAAGGTACTCACTGTGTAGTTCCGGAAGCTGGCCTTGTCTTTGGCCACCTCTGGGTCCACATCAGGTCGGTAGACCAGGGAAGGGTCTGGGCCCTGTTTTTTTTTTGGATTGAACCTATTTCACCATCATGTCAGCTCCACGAGGAAGCAGACATTCTTTTTTTTTTTGCAGACTCCAAGCCTGCCTCCGCTCGAGAGCTGGTGGGGGACACGAGAGGTTTTTTTTTTTCCTGCACCATCATCCCGGCCCCTGCCCTGGCCTCAGCGAGTCCCAGGAACTCTCACTCCCAGGTCCTTATCCGCAAAGTGAATGTCAGCAGACGTCTGCTTCCAGGGTGCAGGGGACACCACGCCTGAGCGGCACCCATGGCCACCCTTGCGGGGTGGACGCGGCCTTGGGAGGAGACTGAGTCCGCAGGGAGCCTGGGGGTCGGCAGCCACTGGCTCTTCCCCAGCTGGACGTTTTTTTTTTGCTGGCCAGCGCCAGCTAGAAGAGGGCAGGAGCAGCTGGCCAGCAGGACAGCAGTCAGCGGGGCCTCTCTGCATGGGGTCTGGGTACTCACCACCGTCACCTTCATCCTGAGTTTTTTTTTTGCTCAGGTGGCAAAGTGCAGGCTGGTGAGTGTGTCCTCAGCCGGGCTCCTATTTTTTTTTTAGGTTACATAAGTGACTGTGGTAATGAGTGACCATCCACCCTCCTCCTGGCCTCAGGGAGTTAATGTGTCAGCACACGAGCAGCCCCCAGCAGTCCCACATCCTCTTGCCCTGACTCGGCCTCCCTCCTGTCCTGAGTCGCTGACCTGCTTAGGGTTGTCTGTGGGCCCAGCCTTTTTTTTTTCTCTGGCTTTAGACCCCTCTGTGGGGTCCCACAAGTAGGGGCAGACCCAAGACCCCACCCTCAAGCACACACCTCCTCTGCACCACCCCTGCCCCGGCTGCCCCACTGGATCTCAGGAGGAGAAAACTTGCCCCAGGCCCCTCATGATTCTAGGTGGGGCAGGGGCTAGTTAATTTTTTTTTTTTCTGAGGACTTGTTAAAATGGTGAGAAGAGCTTTATTCGAGAGCGTGGTGAGAGGAGCTCACCTCCGAATTCAATGACAGCTGGAGATTGATGGCGTCGGAGGGGTCAGCGTTTTTTTTTTTGCTAGGGGAGCCTTTGAGGGTAGGGGATTCTCACCAGAGCGGCTCAACGGTTTTTTTTTTGGAGGCCGGCAGGGTGACGAGATCACGGGTGGGAGATGAGGAACTGGATCATTTTTTTTTTGTGGGTAATTCTCCATAAACTGATTTACCAGGATTCTTGCTAACACCGGGGTCGGTGGGCCCAGAGAGGAAGGGGATGAGGTCAAGCCTCGTCGAGGAAAGGACTCAGGAGCACCTGCCTAGAGTTCGGCCACAGAATGTGTCAGGCTCTGGGAGAGGGGCCTCATGGAGAGTTTTTTTTTTTAATGGAATCGCCAGCACCCGGGCTGCCAATGCAACTTCCCATGCATGGGCCCTGCAGGCACGGAGGACACTGGGAGAACGAAGTGCCCGCAGCAGAGCTAGCATCTTGAAGCGTGGCCAGGGAAGAGTCTGGGAACAGCAGTCAGCTGGGGCAGGGGAGAGGGCAGTGGTTTGCTGGGGCCATACCTAGGGCTCTGCAGATCACAGTTCTGGGCTTCAGGTGTCAGGTGAGGGCTGTGGGGAGCTGACCTGACTCAACAAGATTCTGGCACAGCTGAGCTGAAAAGGAGCTGTGAGGAGACCCCAGCGCCCCCCATTTAAATGGCACCTGCCCCGCACTCTCCTTGTCTGACTTCCTTTTTTTTTTAGCACTCCCTGCCACTCCACCACCCACTTACTCTACCTTCTATGTTTGTCTTTTTTTTTTTCCCCCTAGAACGTCAGCCCCCGGGGGCAAGGCTGTATCCTCAAGTGTCCCAACAAGCGTGGGTCACGTGCTCAGCATGCACTGGCCAGAGGGATGGAGACAGGCACGGGGAGGCGGCTACGGCCATTGCCCCCACAGCAGGTGATGCCTGGGTCAGGAGAAGGTGTCTGGATAGGTTCAGGAAGTGGGACCAGGCGGGATTCATAGGAAGGTGCGAGGGAAGAGAGGGGGTTTTTTTTTTTTTTTTTTTTTGAAACAGAGTCTTGCTCTGTCGTCCAGGCTTGAGTGCAGCAGTGTTTTTTTTTTTCACTGCAACCTCCACCTCCCGGGCTCAGACGAGTCTCCTGCCTCAGCCCCTTTTTTTTTTGTGATTACTAGCGTGTGCCACCACGCCCAGCTAATTTTTGTATTATTACTATTTTTTTTTTTTTTTTTTGAGACAGAACTTTGCTCTTGTTACCCAGGCTGGAGTGCAGTGGCACAATCTCAGCTCACTGCAACCTCCGGGTTCAAGTGATCCTCCTGCCTCAGCCTCCTGAGTAGCTGGGATTACAGTCATGTGCCACTGTGCCTGATAAATTTTGTATTTTTTATTTAATATTTAATATTTTAATATTGTATATTTTATTGTATTTGTATTTAATTTTGTAATTTTTGTATTTTTAGTAGAGATGGGGTTTCACCATGTTGGCCAGGCTGGTCTTGAACTCCTGACCTCAGGTGATCTGTCTGACTTGGCCTCCCAAAGTGCTGGGATTACAGGCGTGAGCCACCGGGCCCAGCCTAGAGGAAGTTTTGGCCACAGCAGCAGGAAGTGGTTGCTGGCGAAGGTGGGGGTGAGTGCAGGTGCTGGTGGGCCTGTGCGTGAGGGCGTCAGGTGGGTCTGGCTTCACACCTGAGGCGATGCAGAGGGTCACGGAAGGCGGCCTCCTGACTACAGGGCATGAGGAGGGTGAAGGCTTTCCTGGAGGAGGGAACACTTGGCCCTGACCACAGGCAGGCCCCAGACGGGGTGCCAAGCTGGACTTTGCCTAGGCAGGAGAGGAGGCATCTGGGAGGGTTTTGGCTGGGTTGAGTAGCGGACACTGAGCTCCTGACCCCCCAGCCTTGCCCCGGGGTCCCCTCCCTCTGTCCTCATGCCCTGTGCTCTGCTGACACCCTTCAGTGACCACAGGACACATGACTCAGAGGCTGAGGCCCCTCCACCCTGCAGCCTCTCAGCAGCCAAGCCTCCTGTGCCCCTGGGGACTTGGCACTCCCAGCTCCTTCCCCTAGGGAAGGCCTGCTGTCCTCAGACCTCACTGATCCAGTGCTTCTCCCAGGGAGCCGGCCTTGACTGCCTTGCTGTGCGGCCCACCACCCTGACCACCTCTGCTGCAACCCTAGTCCATCTCCCAGTGCACGGAGGCCTCCACAGGGCAGGATCAGCCTGGACTGTTCCCACAGGGCCTCGTGGAGCACAGGTCAGTTACCTGGACCCGGCGATCCCTGAGCTCAGGGAGCAAGCACAGAGGCGGCGCCTGGGTGGGCGCTTCCAGGACCCTCCCCTTTGGAGGTAGTCACTGAGGGGCAGGCTGTGGGGGAATGTCCTGAGCTCTGCTGTAGCCTCTAGAGTTGGGGTGATCATGGCGACCCTCATGGGGTGGCTGAGAGGGTGACCCTAGCAAACATTTGCAAATTAAATGCTGAGTGTTTGCTAAGTAGCAGAAGGAACCCTTTCTGAACCCCACGTTCTGCTGGACGACTGGGAGCCTCGAGCGGCACACGCACATGAGCCCCCCATCTCCCCGGGGAAGAACACACACCAAGTCCGTGCACACTGGCAGTGGTTCTTGTTCTTGTCATTTGAGGCTGGGCTGCCCTCCGGGCTCTTGGCGAGTCACCTGCTGCCCCCATACCTGGTTCCACTGGGCCCCCACACTGGGTGGTGGTGGGGCGCCTGGGTTGCCTGTGGAGCCCCACCCTTGTCTGGCTGCCAACAAGGGTCTCACCCCCTTGAGGTGGGGTGGGTCTATTTGGGCTGGGGGATCTTGCCCCACCCAGCCCTGCCCTGTCCTGGGGTAGGAAGGGGTGTCCCTGTCCCAGAATGGTTTGGGGTGGCGTCTGAACTGCTGAGTTCCCCTCCCCGGCCTCCCACGGGGCATCCAGATGGAGTCCCCATGGCTACCTCAGTCTGGGCTCCAGGGTTGGCAGCTGGAGCCACAGAGGTCCCGTCATGACCTCTGGAGGGCCACCATCCTTCCCTTGCCCAACCCCAGGGGGCTATAGCATCCCACACTCCCTGTCCTGTCCCAAAGGCATGGGGAGGGAGAGGCTGGGACCCCCGGCCAGGCAGGCACGTGGAAGGGCTGGTTGTGCACGACAGCAGAAACAGCCCAGGCACAAGGCCGGGCTTTAGTCTGACTGGACCAGCAGCGGAGGGGCCGCTTCCGGCCAATTCAGCCCCTCTCCCCTGCTCGTCCAGACGTGGCCCTGTGGGTTCAGGGCCCAGCTTCTGCTCCACGTCCTTGGCAGATGCCTCCTTTTTAAAACGCTTTTTAGCATCTGGTGCTGCCACCAGCTGGGTCTGGCAGCCATCCCCCAAGGGTTTACAATTTCAGGGTGTTTAGGCTCCTTGATGTACCATAACTGCATATAGACCAACCTTGGTCTACAGGTGTGCAAGGGTTTACGTGTGCGACGCCGTGCAGGCATTGTTGCCGCAGGACCTGCTGTCTGCAGCTCCGCGGGACTGGGCTGCGGAGGGGGCTCAGCTGCAGCTCTGGACGGGGGCACAGCACCCTGGCTGGGATGGGCAGGGGTGTGGCCCAGTCCCACTTCAGCCATAGCTGTGGGGGCTGCTGGGGTCCACAGGAGCTGAGTCCTGCCGGCCGGCCGGGCCCATGAGTTGCCACAGGCGGTGGCTGAGATTCTGCACCTGACAGGTGCCCAGCACACAGCCCACTCGCAGGAGCTGGGCTTGGGTCCTGCGGGAGCCCGAGTGTCTTCGGGGGCCCGAGTGTTGGCGGCCACCATCCCGGAGAGGCTGACCCATAGCAGGAGCCAGGCCAGCACCCCTCTGTGGCTGGAGGGCCTGGTGAAGCTTCCAAACCACAGGTCGGGGTGCGGGGTACCTGGGCTGCAGGTTGCTGGAAGGGGTCCGGGCTGGGGGCTCCCTGCAGAGGCAGATGGAGAATGTCAACTGGATGGCTCAGCCTTTCAGAGACCTCACACCTACCCACTTTTGCCTCTACACAGGCCTGGGTCACTGCCAGGGGAAGCCCACGGCCCCCACCCACACACAGCCTGGAGCATGGCCAGGGGAAGCCCACGCGTCCCTTCTGGGCTTGGGGCCTGGGACCATCTCAGTGGCCCGGGTCACGTGTCCTGGGAACCGGCACCTCCTTGAGCAAAGGGCACCCCCGCGGCCCAGCCTCTGCGGGTCACCACTCTCAGGGCTCAGGGTGACTCAGCTCCTGCCCTCCCGTTGGTCACAGGTGGGCCTGGGGATACCACCAGCCTTCCCTCCCCCAGCAGACACCCCCAGAAAAGGGGCTGCTGTGTCCACGTGTGTGGGGAGAAGCAACTGCCCTGTGCAGGGAGGCAGAGGAAGAGGGTCCTCTGGCCCTGCTCAGGCGCTGCTGAGCCTGGGGCAGGGGCCTTGGTTTGGGACGGGAGCCCTAGCAGCAGGTGGCGGTTGGAGGGAGGGCGGCCCCCGGCACTCTGCTTCCCTGTGGGGGCCAGAGGGGCTGGCTGGCCCAAGGCCTGGACTCACCTGGGTTTGACGGGACGCGGGTCCCCGCCCAGGCTGCGGGACAGCACGCCAGGGAGCTGCAGGCAGAGGAGGCTGATGCAACCCAGGGCGGCCGTCGGGATCCGGGCCATGGCGGGCGGCGCTGCAGGGGAGGGAGCGGTGAGCCGGGCAGGTCGGGGGCAACCTGAGCCGCGAGCCACCCCCTCCGCCGGCACCTCGGGGAGCCCTCCGCGGTCGGGGCACCGGGCGTGGGTATGGCAAGCTGGGCACGGGCGTCCGTCGGGGCGCAGGCCTCGGGCGCGAAGCGGGCAGCGGGTCTGGGGTCGGCCGCGGGTCCAGAGCGCAAGGCGGAGCGGGCTGGGCGGGTTGGGGGTCCTGTCTGGAGCAGAGTCGCGGCCGGGATGGCACCTCTGGAGCTGAATACGTAGCCTTTCCAGCAAGGGGCGGAGCCGGGTGCACGGACGGGGCGGGGCGCCCCTGCTCCGGGCCAAGCCACGCTCCGGGGCGGGGAGGGGGCTGTTCCCGCCGGGAGCGCTCGGCGACCGGCCCGGGACCGCGGGGCTGCCAGCCTCACTCCAGGCGCCTTCTAGTGGGGACGCAGCCCCGAGCCTGGGGGGGCCGGACTTCCCCAGGCTGAAGCGGGGTGCTAGGGGGCGAGCCGTAGTCCAAGCTGATCCCACGGCTGGGGTGGACTCTCACCCTGTCAACCACCTCCCGATTGGTGGGTCCTGGCGGTCCCACCCTCCAGGGTCTGATCCGGTGAACCCCGGACCCCGGACCCCGGCCTGACCAGGGAGTCCGCGGGATTCCGCAGCGGGCTGGCCATTCCACTATCCTCTGACGCGGTGTCCCCAAACCCGGGGCTGCGCTCCTAAAAAGCTCTACCTACCGCCAGCCGCTCCAACCCCAGACCAAAGTATTGCACGGTTTCTGTAACAAATTTAAACAAGTGTCCGGGCGCGGTGGCTCACTCCGGTAATTCCAGCAATTTGGGAAGCTGAGGCGGGCGGATCACCTGAGGCCTGGAGTTTGAGACTAGCCTGGCCAACATGGAGAAACCCGTCTCTACTAAAAATAAAATTAGCTGGTCACGGGCCGGTGGGGCACGGAGGCTCAGGCCTGTAATCCCAGCACTGTGGGAGGCCGAGGCGAGTGGATCACGAGGTCAGGAGATCAAGACCATCCTGGCTAACACGGTGAAACTCCCTATTAAAAATACAAAAAATGAGCCGGGCGTGGTGGCGGGCGCCTGTAGTCCCAGCTACTCCGGAAGCTGAGGCAGGAGAATGGTGTGAACCCGGGAGGCGGAGCCACTGCACTTCAGCCTGGGGGACAGAGCTAGACTCCGCCCCTGAACCCCCCCCCCAAAAAAAAATTAGCTGGGCTTGGTGGCGGGTCCCTGTAATCTCAGCCACTTGGGAGGCTGAGGCAGGAAAGGGTGAGGCTTGAACCCAGGCGGTGGAGGTTGCAGTGAGCTGAGATCGTGCCATTGCACTCCAGCTTGGACGATAGAGTAAGACTCCGTCTCAAAAATTAAAAAAAAAAAAGAAATTTAAACAAGTGAAACGTGAGACTGTCCTCATCATTACCACCCACTTGGTACCCCTACCCCGGGCTGGGTGAGAGCCCTCTCCTGACCCGCCCTGGGCACACCAAGGTGTGGCCATGTGAGGCACACACATCCATGTGTGCAGACCTGCAATAGGACTGAGACCCCATTCTTTACTTAGAGCTTGTTTGTAGGTCCTGGCAGAGGAGCACAGCTACTCGAAGCCCGATCCTTCATCCTCTTTGACGGAGCACACAGCTTCAGAGGGACACACAGGGAACGATGGGGAAGGAGGGGACACCTACCTCTGAGCCAACCACATCAGCCGAATCAACCCTGGTGACCAGTGGGGTGACAGGCCTCACAGCCTGACTGTCCTCACATCAGAGACCCCATTCTTTCCTATGGTTGGACCTACTCCAGCATATACGTGTTGTATGATTCACTTCACGTGCGATTAACGTGAAATTAGGTGACCGCCAGTCTTTTTGTGAGTTGCTGCCTCGAGCTCACAGACGTGTCTGTACGACACCTTCCTGGAAGTAGAAATTTTGGTTGAAGGTGAGTGCGTGTTGGTGTTGATAGATGGTTCACTGTTCTCCACAGTTTTCGCCTACCCACCGTCCACGAGTCCTGGACTTGGTGTCACGGGTTCCAAGCTGCTGAGACTGGCCTCTCTTGGGTTAGCTGAGGATCTCTGCGTCTGTTTGTGCTTCCCCTTCTGTCTCCCCAACCCCTGCACTCACCCTGTAACCCCCCTGCTGTGCCCCCAGCCTGGGAACACAGTCAACATCTGCTGGATGAATAAGTCGAGGAGTGCCGAGCATACACCACACAGGCCGTTCTGGGAGGACAGGGATGCCCTGCAGGTATTATTTACTTATTTTGACCAGTTAAGGGGCAGGGAGTGTCACATTTATAGGTTTTTTTTTTTGAGACGGAGTCTCGCTCTGTCGCCCAAGCTGGAGTGCAGTGGCCGGATCTCAGCTCACTGCAAGCTCCACCTCCCGGGTTCATGCCATTCTCCTGCCTCAGCCTCCTGTGTAGCTGGGACTACAGACGCCGCCACCTCACCCGGCTAGTTTTTTGTATTTTTTTTAGTAGAGACAGGGTTTCACCGTGTTAGCCAGGATGGTCTCGATCTCCTGACCTTGTGATCCACCCATCTCGGCCTCCCAAAGTGCTGGGATTACAGGCTTGAGCCCCCCCGCACCCGGCTTTTTTTTTTTTTGGAGATGGAGTCCCACTCTGTCACCCAGGCTGGAGTGCAGTGGTGAAATCTCAGCTCACTGCAGCCTCCCCTCCCAGTTTCCAGCGATTCTCCTGCCTCAGCCTCCCAAGTGGCTGGAATTACAGGTGCCTACCACCACGCCCGGATAATTTCTGTATTTGAGACAAGATTTCACCATGTTGGCCAGGCTGGTCTCAAATTCCTGACCTCAGGTGATCCACCCATCTCAGCCTCCCAAAGTGCTGTGATTTCAGGTTTGAGCCACTGCACCCAGTGGTTTGTTTTGTTTTTGGTTTTTGAGATGGAGTCTCACTCTGTCGCCCAGACTGGAGTGCAGTGGCACAATCTTGGCTCACTGCAACCTCTGCCTCCCAAGTTCAAGTAATTCTGCCTCAGCCTCCCTAGTAGCTGGGATTACAGACGCCTGCCACCACACCCAGCTAATTTTTGTATTTTTAGTAGAGACAGGGTTTCACCATGCTGGCCAGGCTGGTCTTAAACTCTTGACCTCAAGCAACCCACCCACCTCTGACTCCCAAACTGCTAGGATTACAGGTGTGAGCCACCAAGCCCAGCCAAGTGTCACATTTATGTTGAAAGGCGGAGTGGCAGCTAAGAAGGCAGGTGCTGGGGAGGCAGGCAGAAAGAGCTTGAGGGGACAGAGTGGATGAGTGGGAGAAATATAGCAGGGCAGGATGGTAAATGAGGGGCTCACAGTTCCTGGCGAAGCCCTTCTGTTTGCTGATGTGGCAGCTGCTGAGGGGGTGGGAAGAGGTCGGGGCCTGGATATGCTGAGGCCGAGATGCTTGAGGGTAGTCCAGGGAGGGGGTCTGGCTGCTCCCCAGCCTGGCAGGCATGGGACTGAGAGAAGGCAGGTCGAGAACAGTTTTGGAGATCTCAGGGATGGCGCGGCCATGGAGGATATGGTGAGCCTGGTCCACAGAGAATGCGGAGAGGCCGGCCAAGAATAGAGCTCAGCACCAGCTCTGGAGGGCCAGGGAGGGAAGGGCCTGAGCAGAGGATCCCCCAGGTTCCCAAGTCTTGCTGCTGCGGCTTCTGCTGCCTCCCGACTCGGCCCTCAGCCTTCCACACCGCCACCAGCTCCGTCCTTTCAAAATATAAGTGCAATCAAATCATTCGCCCCACCAATAAAGAAAAATCAGTGACAATTCCCTGTCCTCACAAGGTTTTAAATCTGGGACAGGTGGAGGTCAGCCCCAGTGAGGGGCTGCGTTTCAGACCCTGGGATGACAGGACAGTTGCTGCCCCTGTGAGCCATAGTCCTACCTCCCGCCGCCTGTGGGGAGGGTGTGTCCTCTGCCCTCAGGCATCAGCCTGGCTGCTGCTTCTGCACCTGCCCCACCCACCAGAGAGGAGTCCCCCTCTGTGATCCCAGGGCCCCTGGCACTTGTTTCATGTGACTCCATTCTTAGTTGGAGGAGCTGCTTCTGGGGAGTGATGGGGCCCCAGCACTGCTTATGATGGACACAGATGAAGAGAAGACATGAGTTGCCAAATGTGCCAGGGCTGGACCATAGGAGGGGGGCAGTGGCATTGGAGAATGCTTGTGAGAATCTAAACAAGCTAGGGTGGTAACTGGCTGGACAAAGCATCTTTGGTTTTTTCCTTTTTTTTTTTTTTTTTGAGATGGAGTTGTGCTCTGTCGCCCAGGCTGGCGTGCAGTGGTGCAATCTCGGCTCACTGCAACTTCCACCTCCCAGGTTCAAGCAACTCTCCTGCCTCAGCCTCCCGAGTCGCTGGGACTGCAGGTGTGAGCCACCACACCTGGCTAATTTTTGTATTTTTAGTAGAGACAGGGCTTCACCATGTTTACTAGGCTGGTCTCAAACTCCTGATGCCAAGTGATCCACCCACCTTGGCCTCCCAAAGTGCTGGGATTTACAGGTGTAAGCCACCACGCCTGAGCTTTGGGGGGTTTTGTTTTGAGTGTTTTATGATGGCAGAGGTAAGTTTGACTCTGATAGCAAGGAATCCATAGACAGGGAAAGATGGAGTTTGGCGGTGGGCACTGACAGTGAATGATGGCCTGAGATGAGGGATGGGCAGAGGGGCAGAACCTGTGGTAATGGAGGCAGGGGTGGTGTGAGGGGTGTAAGATGGGGGCTTGGTGCTCCCACCTCATAGCTTCTGTTTGCTCTGTGAGGAGCAGCCAGTCATCTCAGAGACACTGGAAGTGGGGTGGGAGGTTTGAGGAGAGTGCAGACTGCAAGACAGCTGACCAGAAATCAGCAGGCCAGGTGGTAGCGAAGGGCGTCCATCCATCTGAGCCGCCGAGCCACTATGGATGGTTGTTCCCAAGGGCCTGGTGGAAGCGTGAGAGTGGAGAGTGCGATGCAGGGTCCCCAGAGTCTCTCAGAAGAGAGCCAGCCCTGGGCTCAAGCACTAGCCCAGACTTGCCCAGGGAGACTGCCAGCCTGTACACAAGCTCAATGGTGTGGTAATGTGGTGCTGAGGACCTTTTTGGGTGCAAGTGACAGAAACCAGCTTGAGCCAGCTGGAGCAAAAAGGAGGATTTCTGGCAGGGCACAGTTTCTCACACCTGTAATCCCAACACTTCTCGAGGCAGATGCAGGAGGATCATTTGAGGACAGGAGTTCAAGACAAGCCTAGGCAACATGTCAAGACCCTGTCTCTACAAAAAAATTAAATTTTAAAAAGAGGACTTCTCAACCTGTGAAAACCAACAGTGGTAGAGGAGAGGTGTAGTGTGGCCCATGCCTGAGGGCAGGGAGGGGGCCCTGGTGGGGTCTCTCAGTTTGATTCCATTCATTCTCTTGGTCTGGATCCTGCCCATGGAGGGAGCGTGGATGCCAGTCATTTGGCCAGTTCTTGCAGCAGCCAAACTCATTTAAAAGCAGATCTTCAAGGCCAGCCAGGCACGGTGGCTCACGCCTGTAATCCCAGCACTTTGGGAGGCTGAGATAGGCAGATCTCGAGGTCAGAAGATCGAGACCATCCTGGCTAACATGGTGAAATCCCGTCGCTACTAAAAATACAAAAAATTAGCCGGGCGTGGTGGCAGGTGCCTGTAGTCCTAGCTACTCAGGAGGCTGAGGCAGGAGAATGGTGTGAACCTGGGAGGTGGAGCTTGCAGTGAGCCGAGATCACACCACTGCACTCCAGCCTAGGCGACAGAGCGAGACTTTGTCTCAAAACAAACAAAAACAAACAAAAAATAGACCTTCAGGTGGGCCGGGCGCAGTGGCTCACGCCGGTAATCCCAGCATTTTGGGGGACCGAGGTGGGTGGATGGCCTGAGGTCAGGAGTTCAAAACCAGCCTGACCAACATGGTGAGACCCCCGTCTCTACTAAAATACAGAAATTAGGCATGGTGGCGCACACCTGTAATCCCAGCTATGCAGGAGGCCGAGGTGGGAGAATCGCTTGAACCCAGGAGAGACGGATGTTCCAGTGAGCCAAGATCGTGCCACTGAACTTCAGCCTGAGTAACAGATTGAGACTCTGCCTCAAAAACAAAACAACAAAAAACAGACCTTGGCCTGCTATGCTCAGAGGGATTTCCCTGCTGCACCAGGCTGGCTCCTGCACCTTCTCTCCCAGCATGTTCTGCTGTAGGCTCATGCTCATCCCTGAGCCACTTCAGGGATGGCCCTGGCCAGCCCTTCCCTTGAGAGGGGTGGGTACTGTCAGGGATCCTGGGTGATGCCGCTTTCCCAGAGCCCCCTGCTCCGTGGCCTCATGTGCCTCACACACTTAGAACACTTGCTCTTTTACAGGGGGACATGAGCGTGCCGTTTTTAAGCTAATGTGTTAAATGTCTCACTTCACCTTACAGATGGGGGCTCTTCAGCCTGGGACCCCCAAGGGCAGGGCCTGATTCTCTCCATTCCCTATCGCCAGGCTGGCAGCCCCTGAGGTGACGGCCCTGCGCCTCCTCTGACTTCTAGTTTGGGGGGCCCGGTGGGCAGCGCCCAGGCTCCTCCCGCCTTCCTCCAGTTGGACAGCGAGGGGCAGGGGCCGGGGCGTCTGGGGACCCGATCCCCAGATTGGGAGGGCCCAGGAGTGGGGTTCGGGCCCCTGTGCGGGGAGTCCCAACCGCGAGGGCAGCTGTGGTCCTGGCCCGTGCCTCCCGCCGACACCACGGCCGACCCGGGTGGGGACGTCAGACCCGCCGGAGCCGCAGTCCGGGTTCCCGGCTCGAGGGGCGGTGCCCGGGCCCCAGAGTGGGCAGCGATGGGCGGGGAGCCGCCCTCGTACCTTCTGGACCAATGGAGATACGCGATTGAAGGCCCCGCCCACGCAGGGCGGGACGACAGCACGCAGGCGCACGGCGCGCCCGGGCGGGCCGGCTGGCTGGGAAGATGGCGGCGGGAGCCTGGGCCGCCGCCGCCGCCGCCGAGCGAAGCCGGGGTGTCCGGGGTGCGCGGTCCAGCGCCGGGGCCGGGCCATGAGCGCGCCGCCCTCGAGTCCCCGAGCCGCGGAGCCCGCCCGCGCCCCTCGGGCCGCCCCGCGTCCCTCGCCATGGCGCGGCTCGCGGACTACTTCGTGCTGGTGGCGTTCGGGCCGCACCCGCGCGGTGAGTGCCGAGGCCAAGCGCTGAGGGTCGGGGGCTGGGTTTGACGATCGGGGGTCGGGGGCCGAGGGCTGGAGGCTGGGGACCAGGTCGAGGGGGCCGAGAACTAAGGGCCGGGCGCTGAGGGCTGAGGACCGGGGGCTGGGCGCTGAGGGCCGGGGTCGGGGGGCCGAGGGCTGAGGGCTGAGGGCCGGGGACGGGGCCGGGGCCGGGGCCCGGGCGGGGGCTGAAGGTCGGGGCCGACCTGACAGCCCGTGGGGAGAATGGGCGTCCGCTGGGGGCGGCGTGGCCGCGCGGGCCTGGTGGCGGCCGGGAGGGAAGCCTGGGCCCGGCCTGCCCGGCCTCTGTGGGGTGGGACGGGCTCTCCCCTTGGCCGGCTGCCGGCGGTTGTGGCTCTAGTGGCTCCAGGGGCGCGGACCCGCGGCTCACCAGCCCGCCCCTGACCTTGGTGCTGCGCCTGAAGCCCCTGGCGGTCTTGGCGGGGTGCAAAGAGGGGGTGGAGTTCGGGGTTGGTGCATGGAGAAGCGGTGTTTGACTTGAAACTGGGAGGATTTCAGGAGGAAGCGTCGGGAGTAGAGAGGAGTATTCCTGGCGACTCGCCTGACGGGCCAGGTCCTGCACGCCAAGCCCTGGGTGGGGGATCAGCGTGGCAATGGGTGCCTATGCCCAGGAGGTCTGTGTCTGGGGTCAGCGCCCGTGTCTGAGAGCCCTTCAGCCCAGGAGGTAGGAGAAGACGGAGCCTGACGATGACATCAGCAGCAGCCTGGAGACAGCAGCGCTGGCGAGCGTGCTCGGTGTGCCAGGCCCCGCACAGCCCTTTGTGTGCATGATCTCACCTCTTCCTCCCAGCAGCCCACCGGGGTTGCCCTGCTGTTGCCCCCATCTGTAGAGAAGTCAGGCGGGGATAAGTTGACTGCCTGGCCTGGGCCGGCTCAGAGGGGCTGGGACTGGCACCCAGGCAGTCAAATCCTAGCTGCAGACGGGCAGTAAGTGGGGATGGCTCTGTGGTCAGGCAGGGGCTGGATGTTGAGGTGGGGTTGAGCTTACCTTCCCAGTTACCGTGTTTTTTTTGTCAGTCCAGCTGTCGCTGTCCCCACCCAGGACCTGGACTTCTCTCTTCTTTGTGTTTCTTCTGCTGGACCCCCCTCACACTTCCTGAAGCCTCTTTAGCGTCTTCTTCATCTCCAGCCCCTCCTAGTAACCTCTTATGCAGCACACGCTCTTCCCTGTTATCGTCTATCCAAATGTGTGTCTTATGGCACCGTCCTATCCAAGTGTGTGTCTAACGGCACCGTCCATCGTGAGCATCTGTCTTTTTCTTTAGAGAGGGAGTTCTCGCTTGCTAGGACCACACAGTCCTCATCCCCCGGGTGCAGGCTGGCTGTCAGTGTTGCCTTGACCCACAGAGGGAGCTGTCTGCGCTGAGGCACCTGTGAGGGGCATAGAGGAGGCCGTACCACCTGGGGCAGAGGGTGCCTGAGGGAAGCAAGGCTGGCTGAGGGCTGCCCTGGCGTGAGGGGCCTTGGGCTGGGGGTCGGAACAGGGGCTGCAGGAACAGCTGATGATCCTAAGGGCAGTGTGGAGAGGGTTTCGGTTGGCAGAGACTGCAGGCAAAGGCCAGGTGGGAGGCTTGGTGGCCGTGGGGTGAGGAGTTGAAGGTGGGCACAGAGAAGAGGCAGAGTGGGCTCCACGACAAGCTGGCTGTGACATGTGTGTGCTCACTGCTGGAGCCACATGTAGTGCAGGCACCTGTGTGTGTGTGTCCTTTGCGCAGGACAGGGTAGAAGGCTGGAGCCCGAAGTGCCCCCCTCGCCCTTCCCCTAAGTGGCAGGGAGGAGTGATAAGTGGTCCACTGTAGTAGGGTTGGGGGACCGTGGAGCCCTGTGCCGACTACCTTCTGGGGTTGAGCTGGTCAGCTGCTTGCTGGCCTCGCAGCGCCTTTTTAAGGACTTGTTTATCTTTGAGGGGAACAAGCCTATAGACTGGGACTCTGGTCATGGACTGAGGATAGAACCAGGTACCAGGGCAGGTCGGGGGCGGAAGAGGCAGAGGAGCATGGCGTGGGGATCACTTATCTCTGCTTTGCCCCTTGAGAGCCTTGTGACTTGGAGCCAGTCGTTTGGCTCTCTGTGCCTCAGTTTCTTCATCTGGGGATGGAGTGAGTCATGCTAACCTCCCAGGCTGCTGTGAGGATGCAGTGAGTGCACACGTGTGAAGCGGTGGCACACAGGAGTGCCCTGGAAATGATGAGTATGTTTAGTGACTGAGCAGCAGGTGTGTGGATTCTCTAGGCACAGATACAACAGGCACTTCTGAGTGGGTAGAGGACTCCCTCTGTTCTGTCAGGCTGAGTAAGACTTCAGGGCCGGATGCAGGGTCTCTTGGGTTGGGGATTAGGAGGGCAGATAGCTTGTCTTGCCTGGATCTGGACATCCTGTCTGGAGCTGCTGGGTGCAGGACCAGGGTGCTGAGGGTGCACGAGTCCTGCCTGAGGCAGCATCCCAGTTGCTAGTGGTTACCAGCTGGAAACCTCTCAGGAAAGGTGGGGAGGGGCCCTGAGAAGGTAAATGCCTGTGCTGGCCGTGACTCTTTCACCTCGGAGAGTGATGGTGGCCGGCGCCGGCCCATCTGCAGGCCCCTCACCTGGTGTGTCAGGGATCACCTTCTGTGCCCTGGGGCCAGCATCAGGACTAGACAGACCTCTGCCCGGCTCTTCGCCCAGAAGGGCCCTGATCACAGCATGGCCAGTGCTGAGGTGTCTTTGGGAGCAGGAGACACATTTGATCTGGCCCTGACCTGGCCAGCGGCCTTCCAGCTCCAGCAGCCAAGTGTGCATCTGCCTGGGAGGAGGGGCTGGACCCCTTGCATCTGAGAAAAAGACCTTTTACCCCATGGCCTCGCCTCATCCTGACTGTGATGAGCTGGCTGCATTCTTGAGCCCCATCTACTGTCCCCACCCACGTTCCTTCCCGCCCTCTGGAGCGGGCCGAGGCTGTTTGAGACGGCCTCAGCTGCCTCCCAGCCTCCACCCTGGGAGCCGGAAGGGGTCCAAGGCCTTGGGTCAGAGCTGCTCTGGTCTGATGGGCAGGGGAGGTTGGGGGGATGGCTGAGGACGCTGCAGGGGCCCTGCACATGGCCTGCCGCTGCGGCTGAGGGAGGCGTGTGCATGTTGGGGTTCGGTAGGTGGTGTCGCAGGAAGGTGCTGTCCTTCCTTCTTTTCTTCTCTTTTCCTATAGCTGGGTTCCCCCCAGAGCAGCAGAGCTGGCCAGGGCTGGTCTTCGTGCACGGTGGTGAGTGTGGTGGGGGAACAGGAGAGGCTGCCATCGTTCTTTGCCTCCCCACAGCACACGCTGGCCTGGGCCAGCCCTCCAGGCGTCAGAGCCTGGCACTGGTGATGGGGTGCTGCCAGCAGATGACAGAACGCGAGGTCTGTGTTCGCCTGCCTGCCCGCCCGCCTTTCAGGCCTGCAGTCTGTGTGGGGCTGGCCGCGGGGACATTGGTGCAGGAGGAAGCGCTTTTTGAGGAGCTTTCAGGACAGGAGCCCTAATGTTGTCCTTGGGTGGCCCCCTCGGCCCCATGTTCAAAGGTGGAGGGGCAAGAAAACCTTGGTGCCCTGTGCCACACGGCACACTGTTTGGATTTGTCCTGTTGCTGAGGGGAGGAGCGGGGAGGACACCCTCCTTCCTCTCTGATCTGAGGTAAAGGCAGCACTCTGGTGGGCAAGGAGCTCAGCTGCTGGAGGTTACTCCTGTGGCAATAGGGCTCAGGTGGGGTGGGTGGGGACCCCGGAGAGACATGGCAAACCCCCCCATCCCCCTGGAGGCCAAGATGTGGCCTGGCCCCAGACAGCACAGAGCTGAGGTGCAGGCTGGGACCTCAGAACGGGGAGGAGGAGAGCTGCTCACAGCCCAGGGCTGCAGGGCCCTCCATGGCCTGCTTTTCCAGGGGCCAGCTGTGTTCTGTCATTCCCTGGGGCTCCGGAAGGTGCCGTGTACTTCTGATTGAGGAACCTGTTTGTTTGTGGGGTGTGAGTGCGTTGGGTGTGGAGAGGATGGTCGTGTAGCCGACTGTATGTGTTCTACAAGCCTTAATTAGTCTGTGGTCCGTCCCAGCCAAGCTAACAGGTGCACTAGCAGTCACTGGGGTGTGGTGGAGGGAGGTCGGTCCTAGGATGCCTGTAGGCCCCAGGCTGGGGCAGAGCGTCCCAGGGGAGGGGGTGCTCTGTGGGCTGAGACCTGAAGGCTGCTCTGAGACCTGAAGGGCCAGTCTGGGGCCGTCACGGCACAGAGGAGCTCAGGGAGAGATGCCTGCTTGGCCTGCTGGGCCAGCCCAAGGAGAGTGGCGCTCAGGGCTGGCTCTTTGGCGGGTAGAGCCCTGCAGAGGACTTAAGGCTGAGTGAGAGCTGGTGCTTCACAAGACAAATGGGGTGGAGAGGGTCAAGGTAGACAGTGACCTGCCACGTTGCCCGTCCTCCTGGGGAAGACTGCCTTTCCTGCCTGGCCTGGGGGAGGCTGCAGTGCAGGGACTGCTGTCCCTGTTCATAAACCCCTCTTCCTTCCTCCGCCTGCTGCCTCGTGGCAAGAACTGGGTGAGTCCTGGGTGCCAGCCAGGGCTGGGCCCAGATGGTGGTTTGGGGCCGAGCACAAGGAGGCCTTTGGGGGAGTGGGTGGAGTGGGGGAGGAGCCGCAGCTCAGGGCCTGTGCCTGAGTGAGCTGTGCTTGGGGGTGTGGAGGTAGGTGTGGCACCCGCAGACACCTGGGCCCCCATCAGTCTGCCGCCTGTCCTCTGCAGGGTGTCAGTGGTGGGAGGGGGAGGGGAGCAGGAAGCTGAGGTTTTGTGAGTCAGAATTGGCCCCTCACCGCCCCACCATCTCCCACTTAGCAGCAACCTGCCCACTGCCGACTTCCTTGGCTCTGCCTCTGTAACCCTGGAGGGCGGGTGGTCTCCCTGCCTGTGGGGGACCTGTGGAGTGTGTGCCATTGGGCTGCCAGGGTTGCTCATCTGTTCCCAGGAGGACCAGGCACGCTGGATGTGGGGCTGCAGCTTCCTGGGGGTCAGGGTGGGGGTACACGAGGCGATCTGTGTTGAGTAGGACCCCCCCCTTGCCCGTCTGGCTCTGCTGCCTCCGCCAGGTGGGTGGCGGTGTTGAGGCCTGTCCAAGCGGAGGATGGGCACAGGCCCTGGGGACCTGTGGGTTGTGTGGAGGAGGCAGGGAGGCTTTTGTCTTTCTTGCTGCACCTGCTCCGTCCTCCACAAGCCCTGGGAGGCCTGTGGAGCCGTCCTGCAGTGGGAGTCACACCCTGAGTATCCCGCTGTGGTCCTGACCACCAGGCCTCCTGGTTTGGCTCTCTAGGGGTGAGCCACAGGCAGGCACCTTTAGCCCAGCAGTGTGGACTGGGCCTGGAAAGAGTGCCCTGGGTGTGGTTGTTGGGGGAACAGAGTAGAAGGAGAGGAGGGGTCTCTTGGGGAGATGTAGGCCTCTTGGCTTCCCCTGCCCTGAAAGCCTCCTCCTGGCCCAGGGGAGCTTAGGCTGTGCTCAGCACCCATCCTATGGCCTTTGTACAGGGAGATTTGGAGACAGGGAGCAGGCCTGGATGCGACCACCGTCCCACTCTCCTCTGAGAGCTGCTGGATCCCAGTGCTCAGGAGGCTGTCTGGGTATCCTTCAGTGGTCGTCCTGGACCAAGTCTCCATCCTTCCCGTCTAGCTGCTGCCCCTCTGGGTCCTGCTGGCTGTGGGGATGGTGTTCTAACAGGCAGCTGCCAAACTCCACCTTCTGGGACCTGTACTGGGGACCTGTCTCTGAGGCAGCTGGGACAGGGAAGAGTCTGGGGCTGTGGGTGCAGGGGATGTCCCCTAGCCTTGTGGGGCTGAGGCTTCTTGAATCCCACACAGACAACAGACGTGAGTCCTCCACATGCCTGGCTGGGCCCAGGGCTGGTAGGTGACAGGGAGCTCTGGGGGATGCCCACTGTTGGGGGGCTGAGAGCCTAAGTGGGGGCCTGGCTGTGGTGGCAGATGCTGTGGGGGCTGTGGAACAGTCCTGAACTGTTGACCTTCGATGGAGGGCTGCTGTGCTGTGTGAAGCTGGGCTGGTCAGGCTGAAGGAGGTCTCTGGGATGGGATCGGGGAATGGGGATGGTAGTGGTAGGGGCTTCTCTACTCTCAGGTAGCCTTGGGGTCTGCAGCTGCCCAGCAGACTCTGCATACAGAACTATTTTTAGGGAACTGAGGCTGATCTGGTGCCAGATGAGGGCCTGGTGGGTGGGAATGTTTCCACACTGGGATCCTCAAGCCTCCTGGTGGATGGGGGCGGGTCGGGTGCTCTGACCACCTGTTCTTGTCCTCAGGGAGTGGGGAAGGCCAGGGCCAGATTCTGCAGCGCTTCCCAGAGAAGGACTGGGAAGACAACCCATTCCCCCAGGGCATCGAGCTGGTAAGTGGGGGGCGTGCTGAGACGGTGCTGGCAGGTGGGGGGGGTGGCAGGTGGGGAGGGCAGGTGGGCACAGCCCTGCCCTTGTCCCTGACTGAGGGTCCTCTGCAGTGCCCGGCTCACCGCTGAGTAAGGGACCAGACAGCAGAGCTGCTGTTGGGGGTGTGGCCGGCTTGGCCGGCAGACTGCTCGGTGCTCGTGTCACTGTGTCATGTTGCACTCACTCATGATGGTGGGGACTGTTCCCATCTTCTGGTCCTTGCCCCAGGTGGGGAGGTCAGAGGCTGTTACTCCTTTCAGTCGGAGACACTGACGCCCAGGAGGCCACGTGTCCCCAGGGTCTCCAAGCAAGGAGCTGCCTGTGTGTGTTGGAGCCTCCAGGCCTGGCAGTGCAGATGCTGGGGCAGGTGGGCTGGTTCTTGCCCCAGGTGTAGGGGGAGGAGCTGACTGCTGAGCCCTCCCTGCAGTTTTGCCAGCCTAGCGGGTGGCAGCTGTGTCCCGAGAGGAATCCACCGACCTTCTTTGTTGCTGTCCTCACTGACATCAACTCCGAGCGCCACTACTGCGCCTGCTTGACCTTCTGGGAGCCAGTGGAGCCTTCACAGGTCAGCTTGGGGCCTCTGGGTATGGCACGAACAAAGCTGCATCCTTGGGCCATGGCCAACTCCCCCTGCCCCCATCTCCCCCGACCCCTAGCAGGAAACGACGCGTGAGGAGGATGCCACAGAGAGGGAAGAAGAGGAGGATGAGGGAGGCCAGACCCACCTGTCTCCCACAGCGCCTGCCCCATCTGCCCAGCTGTTTGCACCGAAGACGCTGGTACTGGTGTCTCGACTTGACCACACGGAGGTGTTCAGGGTGAGGCGGGCAGCCGGGGTGGCGAGGCAGGACGAGGGTGCTTCCATCGGCTGTCCCGCCACTCCCCGCTCTGGTCATTGCAGAACAGCCTCGGCCTCATCTATGCCATCCACGTGGAGGGCCTGAATGTGTGCCTGGAAAACGTGATTGGGAACCTGCTGACGTGCACTGTGCCCCTGGCTGGGGGCTCACAGGTGGGTTTTGGGGGCAACTGGTGTCTGCACAGCCACAGGCCCTCCTGCTGGGGCCCTTGTAGGTATTTGGAGCCCAGCCAGAGCCACACACAGCTGGAGGCCTTGGATGCTCCCTCCTGTGTCCTTGTGCCACCGTTGCCCCCGACAGTCCTGGCCTGCTCACCTGGCCTTTGCACCTGTGCTTTGGGCCTGTGTCCTTCAGCCTCTCTGTCCGCTCCTTCGATGGTGTGTGCCTGTCTCTGGATGTTGGTGTCAGCTTGTTTGTCTGCTTCCTGCCCTGTGCCTGGGTGTGTTGGGGTGTCTAACCGTGTCTTTCTGCCCGTCTGTCCTGTGCAGCTGGACTCTGTTGAGGAAGGAGCGGTATGGATTCTTTGTTTCTTCTGCCCACCTAGGCCCCATCCCTACCCCCAGTCAAAAGCAGCCACTCCTGTCCTGAGTTTTCTCTGCAGCTGCTTGGGACAACAGAGGCAGGGCATGGCATTTCCCTCTTGCCATGTTGCCCATCCCAGCCAGTCCCACTTCGGGTCTGTCTGTCCACCAGGGTGTGCCTGGGGGCCACGGTGCTCTGGGCTGACTTAGATCTGGTCAAGCTACTGAGTCCCGATCATTCTTTTTTTGCAGAGGACGATCTCTTTGGGGGCTGGTGACCGGCAGGTCATCCAAACTCCACTGGCTGACTCGCTGCCCGTCAGCCGCTGCAGCGTGGCCCTGCTTTTCCGCCAGCTGGGTGAGCCTGTCTGTCCCACCCCTGCATGGCTTCCCCTGGGGGACTGGTAGTCAGGGATGTGGGTTCTCGCTCTGCCTGGGTAGGGGCCCAGGGTCCTCTCCAAGCTTCTCCTCTTCTTTTAGGCATCACCAACGTGCTGTCTTTGTTCTGTGCCGCCCTGACGGAGCACAAGGTTCTCTTCCTGTCCCGGAGCTACCAGCGGCTCGCCGATGCCTGTAGGGGCCTCCTGGCACTGCTGTTTCCTCTCAGATACAGGTGACCCCGCCCGGCCCTCCCAGCCCCTCCTCCTGGCCCCTTTGTCCAGCCACATCCCCTGGCTCACTGCGTCCTTTGGGGCCTGCACAGCTTCACCTATGTGCCCATCCTGCCGGCTCAGCTGCTGGAGGTCCTCAGCACACCCACGCCCTTCATCATCGGGGTCAACGCGGCCTTCCAGGCAGAGACCCAGGAACTGGTAAGGGTTGTGCTTTGTGTCCACCTCGGCCTAAGCCTGCGGGTCCCTGACTGCCGGCTCCCTTGGCCCGCAGCTCGACGTGATCGTTGCTGATCTGGATGGAGGAACGGTGGCCATCCCCGAGTGTGTGCACATTCCACCCTTGCCAGAGCCGCTGCAGAGTCAGACACACAGTGTGCTGAGCATGGTGAGGGACACCACGGGCAAGTGGGAGCCTTGGGGGCCTTTGGGATGTGGCCGCCTGGCAGCACGGGGAGCCTAGAGCTGGGGCCAGCGTGCAGCTGCCTGCTCCGTTCTGTGCTGGCAGGTCCTGGACCCGGAACTGGAGTTGGCTGACCTCGCCTTCCCTCCACCCACGACGTCCACCTCCTCCCTGAAGATGCAGGTGGGTGTCATTGCTGCTCCTGCATGGGGACCCCGGGGCACTCAGGCTGCCCCGCTCAGGTCTGCTGCCACTGACACACAAGGCACCACCCCCAGGCTGGCCCCGGCTCCTGTAGCATAAGCAGGAAGGAGCCTGGGAGCAAAGCAGCTGCCAGCAGTTAGATGTGGTGGTCGTGAGCGGTGCAGGTGAGGCGGCAGGGGCCCAGCAAGGGGCTGGAACTCAGCCTCTGGTCACAGGAGCCCTTGAGGGTGCTGAGCAGGAGTGCCTCATCCAGACAGTTTCAGAGTTGCTAGTGGCCCTGTGTGCAGAATGGTGGCAGGGGCAGAAGGACGGGAGCAAGGCAGCCTGGGGAGGCCCCATCCCAGCTTGGGGTGGGGGGGGTGGAGGAGCCCCTGAGGGACCTGGCGTGGGGGTCGGCAGGGCTGGTTTTCGCCTGCAATCAGCTTTCCTCCCAGGACAAGGAGCTGCGAGCTGTCTTTCTGCGGCTCTTCGCTCAGCTGCTGCAGGGCTATCGCTGGTGCCTGCACGTCGTGCGCATCCACCCGGAGCCTGTCATCCGCTTCCATAAGGTGGGGCACCTGGTGGCTGGGGGTGGAGTGGGAGATAAGTGCCTGGTGGAGACCCCTGAGGGACTGACCTGCTTGTGTCCCCCAGGCAGCCTTCCTGGGCCAGCGTGGGCTGGTGGAGGATGACTTCCTGATGAAGGTGCTGGAGGGCATGGCCTTTGCTGGCTTCGTGTCAGAGCGTGGGGTCCCGTACCGCCCCACAGACCTGTTCGATGAGGTGCACCCCCACCCTGCCCGCCCAGCCCCCTGCCCTGGCTCTGCCTGACCATGGCTTACCTAACCTCCTGCCCACCCCGCTAGCTGGTGGCCCACGAGGTGGCACGGATGCGGGCAGATGAGAACCACCCCCAGCGTGTCCTGCGTCACGTCCAGGAACTGGCAGAGCAGCTCTACAAGAACGTACGAGGGTGGCAGGATGGGAGGGCATCGTACCACCTGGATCCCTCGGCCCCTGCTCCACACTTCCCGTCTCCCCACAGGAGAACCCGTACCCAGCCGTGGCGATGCACAAGGTACAGAGGCCCGGCGAGAGCAGCCACCTGCGACGGGTGCCCCGGCCCTTCCCCCGGCTGGATGAGGGCACCGTGCAGTGGATCGTGGACCAGGCTGCGGCCAAGATGCAGGGTGCACCCCCAGCTGTGAAGGCCGAGAGGAGGACCACTGTGCCCTCAGGGCCCCCCATGAGTGCGTAATGAGGAGGGACGGGGAGGCAGGTCCCGGGCGTGGCCCAGGACGGGCATGGGGTCAGGGGTCCGAGTGTGCGTGTTCTCTCCCCGCAGCTGCCATACTGGAGCGGTGCAGCGGGCTGCACGTCAACAGCGCCCGGCGTCTGGAGGTCGTGCGCAACTGCATCTCCTATGTGTTTGAGGGGAAAATGCTTGAGGCCAAGAAGGTGAGGGCTGTGCAGGCTCCAGCCGGGCCAGGGCAGCGGGTTTCAGAGGAGACCTAGGCCACGCTTTGCCCTCGTGGGTGCTGACCCTGCCCCGGGGCCTCCTCTGTCTAACAGACAGCTGGGGGTGGCTGGGCTGGCCTGAGGGCAGGTGGGCGCCGGCTCTCCTCTTGACCGCAGGGAGTGGTGGGTCAGGCCTGCGTGGGAGGCCCAGCCAGGGAGATTTACTTCCATTTTTAGAAATCAGAAGGTTTCACTATTATGTTTCCTCTGCATCCTTCCCCTTAAATTGGGTCTTACACGACCTGCTCCTCGTACTTTATGGAAACAGAGCTTGCTCCCTGCTGTTTTACTCTCTGTGATGCTCACTTCACACCTCTGGGGTCTTTCATCATGGCCAGTTGGAGTCTCTTGTTTTTCATTGGCTGTGTGGTGTCCCTTTGGGGCGGCCAGTTTTGTGATGAACGATGTAGCAATAGAATACAAACTCCAAGCCTTTCTGTGGCCGGGCCTGTGCCAGGCGAGTCACTGAGCCCTGGCCAGACAGGCAGCTCTGAGCCTGTCAGCCGGGGGGCCCAGGCCACAAGGCCTCCCTCTGGAGCGCACCTCCCTGCCGGCTCCCAGGTGCAGCGTCTGTGTCCCTGTGTCTGGCCTGGTGAACTTGTACTTGTGGAGCTGCTGGGCCCACCGGAGGGTTTAGTCTTTATTGGTCAGCAAAGCCCCAGAGTCTGGGACATCCCACCTGAAAGGCATTTGGGTCTCCTGGACTCCTGCTGCCCTCCCTGCCTGGGCCCCCAGTGGGTCTTTTCTGTGCCCTCAGCCCGTGTCTCCTTTCCCCACCTGCAGCTGCTCCCAGCTGTGTTGAGGGCCCTGAAGGGGCGAGCTGCCCGCCGCTGCCTTGCCCAGGAGCTGCACCTGCATGTGCAGCAGAACCGTGCGGTCCTGGACCACCAGCAGTTTGACTTTGTCGTCCGTATGATGAACTGCTGCCTTCAGGTGAGGCCAGGTCTCCCATCCTGCCAGGGGCGCATGAGCGGGAACAGGCGGGGAGACCCTGGTCTGCGGGTGAGAGTAGAGAGGGTGCAAGAGACTCCTGTGCCAGTGGGCAGGGGTCCTGGGTCTGCAGGGAACACAGTGGAGAGAACCGTTGTTGGGGGCAGGTGCTGGGGCCTGGGGTTTCCTGATGTTGAGCCTCTGAGGCAGCCCTGGGGAGCTGGAGCCACGGTGTCAGGTGCTGGTCCGCGGTGGCTACGGGGGTGGTGGGGGCATGGTGGGAGGTGAATGCTGCCTGGGAGGGGAGATGTCCTCACAGGCTCTCGCTTTGCCTGCAGGACTGCACTTCTCTGGATGAGCATGGCATCGCAGCTGCTCTGCTGCCTCTGGTCACAGCCTTCTGCCGGGTGAGTGGTGGCATGGCTGAGGTCTCCTTCCCAGCCCCTTCCTGGCTGCATCCCGCTGACCTTCTCCCCTGGCTTCTGCAGAAGCTGAGCCCGGGGGTGACGCAGTTCGCGTACAGCTGTGTGCAGGAGCACGTGGTGTGGAGCACGCCGCAGTTCTGGGAGGCCATGTTCTATGGGGATGTGCAGACTCACATCCGGGCCCTCTACCTGGAGCCCACCGAGGACCTGGCCCCCGCCCAGGTGCGCAGGGAGTCCTGGGGCTGGGGACTGGGGGCTGGGGGCAGTGCGGCCCCAGCTCATGCCTGTGGTGCTGTGGCAGGAGGTTGGGGAGGCACCTTCCCAGGAGGACGAGCGCTCTGCCCTGGATGTGGCTTCTGAGCAGCGGCGCCTGTGGCCAACCCTGAGCCATGAGAAGCAGCAGGAGCTGGTGCAGAAGGAGGAGAGCACGGTGTTCAGCCAGGCCATCCACTACGCCAACCGCATGAGCTACCTCCTCCTGCCCCTGGACAGCAGCAAGAGCCGCCTACTTCGGGAGCGCGCTGGGCTGGGCGACCTGGAGAGCGCCAGCAACAGCTTGGTCACCAACAGGTGAGGCGGGGACTGGGGGTTGGGCCCAGTGGAGTGGGCGGGGCCCATGCCCACAGTCTCTTCCCTGGCCCAGCATGGCTGGCAGCGTGGCTGAGAGCTATGACACGGAGAGTGGCTTTGAGGATGCAGAGACCTGCGATGTGGCTGGGGCTGTGGTCCGCTTCATCAACCGCTTTGTGGACAAGGTCTGCACGGAGAGTGGGGTCACCAGCGACCACCTCAAGGGGCTGCATGTCATGGTGCCAGGTACGGGGGTCTTTGCTGGTGACACCCCCTTGGATGGGCGGGGCTGGACGCAGAGTGTGAGAACTACCTTCCCCCAGACATCGTCCAGATGCACATCGAGACCCTGGAGGCCGTGCAGCGGGAGAGCCGGAGGCTGCCGCCCATCCAGAAGGTTTGTGGGGGCCAGCAGGGCTGCGGGCGCCCAAGGCCAGGGCTGCATCCTGAGCTCCTGCTCTTGTTTTCGAGTAGCCCAAGCTGCTGCGGCCGCGCCTGCTGCCTGGTGAGGAGTGTGTGCTGGACGGCCTGCGCGTCTACCTGCTGCCGGATGGGCGTGAGGAGGGTGCGGGGGGCAGTGCCGGGGGACCAGCATTGCTCCCAGCTGAGGGCGCCGTCTTCCTCACCACGTACCGGGTCATCTTCACAGGGATGCCCACAGACCCCCTGGGTGAGCCTGCAGACCCTCTGGCCCTGTCGCCCCCTCCCGCCAGGTCTTTGGGATGAATGGACTTTCCCTGTTTCTCCCATCCTCTTCTCGGGGGTTGGGGATCCCCATGGGAAATGGGCCTTTGTCTGCTCCTTCCCCACCCACTTGGAATCCCCCATAACTGTGGTACCCTGAGATTCTGGGACCCCCCCCGCCTTATCTTCCTTGCTTCTGACTCTGCCTGGCCTGTCCTAAGTTGGGGAGCAGGTGGTGGTCCGTTCCTTCCCGGTGGCTGCGCTGACCAAGGAGAAGCGCATCAGCGTCCAGACCCCTGTGGACCAGCTCCTGCAGGACGGGCTGCAGCTGCGCTCCTGCACATTCCAGGTGGGGCGTGGTGCACGGGTGGGGCTCTCGCCCCCGCCCTGGTCTTTCTCGTGCGAACCGGTCTTTCTCGTATGAACCATTTTTAAGCTAGTTTCCACCAGTGGCCCTGCTGTTAGGCCTGCGTGTCTGGGGCCCTCACCGTGGCTCTTGAGTTGACATCCACTGTTTGATATACAGTCTTTGGGTCCTTGTCCTTTCCTTGGGGCGCTGACCCTCAAGTGCATGTCTTGGGTGTGCCTTGCAAGCCCGGGCCTTACCTCACAGCCACTGAGATTTCAAGTTTACACAAATGCTTGCCTTTTTGTGACACGGGCACAGGCCTTTGCCTGTGCCTTGCTTCTCTCTGTGTCATGGCTGCGGGGGGAAGGGGAGCCTGGCACCTGGCAGCGTCAGAGTTGGGGGAGGGGCTGGGGGCCACCCAGACTAAGGGTTGCTTTTTCTGACGCAGCTGCTGAAAATGGCCTTTGATGAGGAGGTGGGGTCTGACAGTGCCGAGCTTTTCCGCAAGCAGCTGCATAAGCTGCGGTACCCGCCGGACGTCAGGGCCACCTTCGCGTTCACCCTGGGCTCTGCCCACACACCCGGCCGGCCCCCGCGAGTCACCAAGGACAAGGGTCCTTCCCTCAGGTATGGATCTGGGTCCCAGGCCGGGGCAGCTGGGCCTCAGCCATGAGTTTCTGCTGCAACCCTCCTGGGCCCCTGTGCCCGTCTTTGTCCCTCTTCCTCTCACCTTGGTGACTCTGTGTGCCCCAGAACCCTGTCCCGGAACCTGGTCAAGAACGCCAAGAAGACCATCGGGCGGCAGCATGTCACTCGTAAGAAGTACAACCCCCCCAGCTGGGAGCACCGGGGCCAGCCGCCCCCCGAGGACCAGGAGGACGAGATCTCAGGTGGAAGGGTGGGGGGAGTCCTGGGTGGTCTCTGGATGCTGACACTCGCCAGGGAGGATCAGGACAGGTGGAGTGGCCTCTGGGTGATGACCCCGTGTGCCTGGCCTGCACAGTGTCGGAGGAGCTGGAGCCCAGCACGCTGACCCCGTCCTCAGCCCTGAAGCCCTCCGACCGCATGACCATGAGCAGCCTGGTGGAAAGGGCTTGCTGCCGCGACTACCAGCGCCTCGGCCTGGGCACCCTGAGCAGCAGCCTGAGCCGGGCCAAGTCTGAGCCCTTCCGCATCTCTCCGGTCAACCGCATGTACGCCATCTGCCGCAGGTGAGGGCCGGCCGGGGCTGGCCGGGGTGGTTGGCAGGTGACTGAGTGTCTTTCCTGCCTCCTGTGGGCCTGGGCCACGGCTCCTGGTCACGTAAGGAATGTGGAGGGGGAGAGGGCGGAGGGACGGGCCACAGGGCTGGGGGCGTGGGCTGGAGGGCCCCGTGGCTGAGCTGGAAGTGCCTCCTGTTGGGCGCCACGGGCTGGCTCCTCTTGCCCTGCTTGGGGCATGAGCCCAGAGTGGGTGGGGCCAGCCGCCTTCACGCCTCTGCCTCCCCACAGCTACCCAGGGCTGCTGATCGTACCCCAGAGTGTCCAGGACAACGCCCTGCAGCGCGTGTCCCGCTGCTACCGCCAGAACCGCTTCCCCGTGGTCTGCTGGCGCAGCGGGCGGTCTAAGGCCGTACTGCTGCGCTCTGGCGGCCTGCATGGCAAAGGTGTCGTCGGCCTCTTCAAGGCCCAGAACGCACCTTCTCCAGGTACCTCCTGCGTCCTGCCCTGTGCCTGCTCTGCCCTATCCCACCCTCCCCTGCCTCAGCTCCACATCCTACCCTAGGCCAGTCCCAGGCGGACTCGAGTAGCCTGGAGCAGGAGAAGTACCTGCAGGCCGTGGTCAGCTCCATGCCCCGCTACGCCGACGCGTCGGGACGCAACACGCTTAGCGGCTTCTCCTCAGCCCACATGGGCAGTCACGGTGAGGGTGCTTGTGGGCAGACGGTGGGGCCGGGGGCACTTTGGGGGGCTGTGGTGGCATTTATGGTTTGGCAGGCAGGCCACAGAGGGGCAGAAACGGCGTTGATCGTGGATGTTTGGGTATGGGATGAGGAGCATGCCCTCGGGGTGCCGTGGGGCAGGGGCGGGAAGCCTGCCCAGACCAGGTGTGTGCCCTGACCTCTGTCCGCCCTGATGTCCTGCCCTCCCTGACATCCTGCCTGCTCTGACTGCCCCGCTGTCCACCTCTGTGTCTGCTGCAGCTTCCTGCAGGGGCCTCCGGGTGCTGCCTCTACGTGGCTCTGTCTTATCATTTCCCACAGCCTGGAAACATCCCAGATGCTCCTCTGTCCTGTTCCCTCCCAGTGTGCCTGTTTCTCCTCCTCCCCCAGCCTCCGCCCTCCCCGCATCCCCCTGTCCAGACTGTCTTTGGAGCCTCTGGCCTGGCTCTGCCTGCTGCTTGGCCTCTGTCCTCGTGTGTCCTGGTTCCTTGGGCCTTGCCCGAGCTGGCCTTGCTGTCTCTGTCCCCACCGCCTCGCACACTTTACAGGCGCCGTACACACACTGAGGTAGACTGGCCCCTGGACGGGGTGGCAGGTATGCCCCGCACTCACTGACCTGTTCTCTAGTTCAGAAGTGGTTTTGTTTTTTCAGATACCACATTACATGGTTCTGTTTTACACTCACCCTGTCTTCCTGCCTTCCCACCCCTGCAGAAACCTGAGTGGCGCTTGTTGTGGTGCGGCGCCCGCCCGCCCCGCCCCTGCCCCCGCGCCCCCTCCATCCCACATTGTGGTGTGCCTCCGTGGAGTCCTTTTGGTCTCCGACCATCCCCAGTGCCGTTGCTGGCTGCCTCCCATGTCCCCTCGCGTGCCCAGCAACCCACTCGGGCTCAGTTTCCCTCTCAGCTGTGTGTTGTGGCTTCTAGGTCCCAGCTCTGACCTCTTTATAAGGACCGCACTGGCCCTGGTTGGCATCCAGAAGCGGCTGGTTGCTGCGTCCTCACTGTGAGCCTGACTTGCCCTGCGAGTGTGGTTCTCCTAAATGTCAGAAGTGCAGGCTGTGTTGGCTGGATGTGTGCTTTGGCCCCTGAGTGACATTGGGTGGGCGAGGAGACGTATTCCTCTCGTCAGTCCCCACGCCTGTCGGGGCTCTAGAGCTGGTGAGGCCTAAGGCATACGGGCCAGGGCCCGAGACCCACTTGTGGACCCCAGGCATCTCCCACCCTTTGGGCTGCCACTTCCTCTTGTGGCCTCCCCTGTGCCTTCAGGCCACATCGTCCAGACTGTAAGCCTCAGCCTAGGACTCAGATCTGCCTGTGTCCTGGACTGAGCTGCTCTCCTTCCTTTTGGACTGGGCTCAGGCTCTGAGCCCACCCTCTCCCCTCTTTGGGAAGCCTCCAGGTCGCTCGCCTATTCTCCAGGCCACACCTCTTGGGCACCTCCTGTTGCTATGCCCTGAACAGAGGCCTCTGCATGCCCGTCTGTTGCGAGTTCTGAGCTGTGCCCATCACAAGCCCTGGTCCCCTGAGTGGAGGACAAAGGGCCAGGGTGTGGAGGAGGGACTCAGAGACAGACTTGCCCTGAGCTGATTTAAGTGGGAAGAGAGGAGGTGTTCGGGGGAGAGCTCGGGATCCCCACCACACAGCCCTTCTGCTGCCACAGAGTGTGCCCTGCGGACTGCCCTGCCCTGGCCGAGAGGCCCGCACCAGGATGGCTCTTCCCACTCTCCTGAGATCAGGGACTTGGGGCTGACGGCTGCTAACCTCCAGGCTCCCTGGGGGCTTGGTGGGACCCTCCGGCCTGTAGGCACCCCCCAAGCTGGGCACGCCCAGGCCTGGGGCTAGGCCTGAGCCTTCTCTCTGCTGTGCCCCCAGTTCCCAGCCCCAGAGCCAGGGTCACCACGCTGTCCAACCCCATGGCGGCCTCGGCCTCCAGACGGACCGCACCCCGAGGTACCGTACCGAGCCTGCACAGGCCAGCCCTTACTTGGTGCTGGTGGCCTCTAGTGTGCACTGAGTTATCGCGGGCACTAATGTCTCCCTCCACGCCTGACACTAACGACCTGTCTCCCGAGCCCCAGTCCTTACCTACCTGACCCGCGAGTCCTGCCCTAGAAACTAACACTGGCTGCCACCCCACGTCTCAGCATCTGTGTGTTCCAGCCCTCCTCTCGCACGGCCCTGCCGGGGTCCTGCCAAGCACCCCTGCCCTGGGAACTCAACCCCCTCCCTGGAGGCCAGGCCCAGCCAGCCCCAGGTAAGTGGTGCCCTGGCCCCCCTCGGGTGCTTACCTGGCGTCTTCTCCACAGGTAAGTGGGGCAGTGTCCGGACCAGTGGGCGCAGCAGTGGCCTTGGCACTGATGTGGGCTCCCGGCTGGCTGGCAGAGACACGCTGGCCCCACCCCAGGCCAACGGGGGCCCTCCCGACCCGGGCTTCCTGCGACCGCAGCGAGCAGCCCTCTACATCCTCGGGGACAAAGCCCAGCTTAAGGTGATTGGGCTGGGGAGTGGGGGTGGGGCTGGGCAGGGGGCTTGGGGCCTCACGTGTCTCACGGTGCTCGGCCGGGTTCTTTTCAGGGTGTGCGGCCAGACCCCCTGCAGCAGTGGGAGCTGGTGCCCATTGAGGTATTTGAGGCACGGCAGGTGAAGGCCAGCTTCAAGAAGCTGCTGAAGGCGTGTGTCCCAGGCTGCCCTGCTGCTGAGCCCAGCCCAGCCTCCTTCCTGCGCTCACTGGAGGACTCGGAGTGGCTGATCCAGGTCTCCGCACTGCGCCTGTCCCTCTGCCCACCTTGGTGCTGGGCCTACCCCTTGGCTAGAGCCAAGTGGATGGGTCTAGGTTTGCTTGTCTGAGAGTGTGGAGCGCTGGAAGGAGGAGGTGACAGCCACTTCCCACTCCGGCTCTGGGGCTGGAAGGCAGCTGGCAGTGAGAGTGGCCAGGGCCTGGGCATGGGTGTGTCGGAGCAGCTTGCTGGGCCCAGGTGGGCCGGTGACCACACGGGGGATGCGGTTTATGGTTCTGAGCCTCTGCTGCATTCTTGTGGGGGTGGGTACTGACAGGACGCTGGCTCGGTGAACACGGAAGATGAGGCCCCCGGGCATCTTGAGGGACAGGGACGTCCCTCAGTCCTAGAGAGCTTGGAAGAGGGTGGGCTGTGGCCAGCAGGCTGGAGGTGGCGGTGGTTGGCGTCCCCAGAGCAAGCTGTGTCGGTCCAGTACTGTGCCCACATACAGGGCTCAGAGGGCTGTGGACAGGGCCTGCCTCCCCGGTGCCTGTGGACGTGCAGGTCTCTAGCCTGATGAGTGGTGAGGCGGGAGGGCGGGGGGGTCCCAGAGGTGCTGAGGCCGCCTGTCCCTGCAGATCCACAAGCTGCTGCAGGTGTCTGTGCTGGTGGTGGAGCTCCTGGATTCAGGCTCCTCTGTGCTGGTGGGCCTGGAGGACGGCTGGGACATCACCACCCAGGTGTGTGGCGCATGGGGCTGGGGTGGGCCAGGCTCCCGGGCTCCTCACTGACCCTCCGGCGGTGCTGGCAGGTGGTATCTTTGGTGCAGCTGCTCTCAGACCCCTTCTACCGCACGCTGGAGGGCTTCCGCCTGCTGCTGGAGAAGGAGTGGCTGTCCTTCGGTCACCGCTTCAGCCACCGTGGGGCCCACACCCTGGCTGGGCAGAGCAGCGGCTTCACACCCGTCTTCCTGCAGTTCCTGGACTGCGTACATCAGGTGGGCAGGCTGCTGTGTGGGTGGGCCGGGGCTGCGCACCCTGACTGCCGACCCCTGGCCCCTGACCCACATGGCGTGCAGGTCCACCTGCAGTTCCCCATGGAGTTTGAGTTCAGCCAGTTCTACCTCAAGTTCCTCGGCTACCACCACGTGTCCCGCCGTTTCCGGACCTTCCTGCTCGACTCTGACTATGAGCGCATTGAGCTGGGTATGTGGGGAGTCGGGGCTGGGACAGCCACGGGTCAGGAGGGGCCCAGGCTCACTGCTGGCCCTGTGCAGGGCTGCTGTACGAGGAGAAAGGGGAACGCAGGGGCCAGCTGCCGTGCAGGTCTGTGTGGGAGTACGTGGACCGACTGAGCAAGAGGACGCCTGTGTTCTACAATTACATGTATGCACCCGAGGACACGGAGGTAAGCTGGGGCCTGGGTCGGGTAGGCAGCTCCTGCCTGACCCAGGTCCTCAACTGCAGGCCCACCCCCAGGTCCTGCGGCCCTACAGCAACGTGTCCAACCTGAAGGTGTGGGACTTCTACACTGAGGAGACGCTGGCCGAGGGCCCTCCCTATGATTGGGAACTGGCCCAGGGGCCCCCCGAGCCCCCAGAGGAAGAACGGTCTGACGGAGGCGCTCCCCAGAGCCGGCGCCGTGTGGTGTGGCCCTGCTACGACAGCTGCCCGCGGGCCCAGCCTGACGCCATCTCACGCCTGCTGGAGGTGCGTGTGGTCCCGGAGCAGGGTCTGGCCTGGCACCGCCGCCTCTTGCTCACACTCCAGGGTTGTGCTTGTGTGTGCACTTGTACACGCACGTAAGTCCGGTTACCCCTGGGGGTGGCTGTGGCTCCCCAGGGCCCCACCCCACTCAGTGGATGCTTCCAGACAGTGACCTGAGACCCCCAGGTCTCAGTACACAGCCTCCACTCTGGGCCCGCGTGTTTTCCCTGACCTGGCTTTGAGCAGCTCAGGCAACTCTTGAGGAGTCAGCCCTTAGAGATGCCGGTGTTTACTCCCTCTGCCAGACTGCCTGCCCCACCTACCCTGAAGTGAGCAGCTCTGGGTTCTTGCCCTGAAAGCTTGGGGTTGACATTTAGGCCTCTCTTGCCCCTCACTGTGCCATCCCTGGTGGGCCTGGACTGAACAAGGCAGAGACGCCTGGGAGGGAGAAAGGAGACTGAGGGGTGGCGGCTAGGTTGGTGTGTAGGACTTCAGAGCTAGGCCATGGGGGGACCTGTACTCAGCTCCCCACTGTTGGCTGCGTGGCCTTAGAGGTTATCTGAGCATCTTAGAGCTTCTGTTTCCTCGTGCAGAAAGTGGAAATGCTGATTCCTGCCTTACAGGGAAGTGGTGAGGCTGAAATGAGTCATTTATTTCAGTGACTTAGCATGGGGCACCGGGTTTGGGGGAGCACGGGAGTCATGGTTTGCGACGGAGGTGATCCACACACAGACAGCGGTCCCTTTTTCTCTCAAGCGAAGCTCATTGTCTTAAAGTTGGCGCGGTCCGATTGGTGCTGACGAGTCACTCAGTTTTGTGGTGACCATCAGCTTGCTCTGTGATTTTCTATACTTGTGTTTTTTACTGGTCTGTGTGTTTATGTTTAAGGTGAGTTTCTTGGACACAGAATGTAGATGTAGTTGGGTCTTTCTGTTACCCAGTCTAATGTTTTTTTTTAATTGGAATTTTTAGCCCATTTTAATTTACCATTACTATTGATGTGGCTGGCTTTAAGTCTGGCGTCTCGCTGTTTGTTTTCTCCTTGTCCCTTTGATTTTTTTTCCTTTCTTGCTTTTCTTTTTTTAAAAAATATGTTTTTAGAATTCTGTCTACTGTGAGTTGAGCTGTATCTCTCTGTGTTATGTTTCAGGAGTTGCCAGGGCTATAATCATCTGACTTGAAATTACATTACCCCGTTCGTTCACACCAGAAGAGCCTTACAGCGGTGTATGTCCATTCACGCCTTTCCTGTCCTCCTGTCACTGTCACACATTTTACTTTTACATATGACATAAACACCCAGCGTGGTGGTTTTTTTTTTTTTTGAGATGAGTCTCGCTCTGTCGCCCAGGCTGGAGTGCAGTGGCCGGATCTCAGCTCATTGCAAGCTCCGTCTCCCGGGTTGACACCATTCTCCTGCCTCCGCCTCCCAAGTAGCTGGGACTACAGGCGCCGCCACCTCGCCCGGCTAGTTTTTTTGTATTTTTTAGTAGAGACGGGGTTTTCCACCGTTTCGCCAGGATGGTCTTCGATCTTCCTAGCCTCGTGACCACCCGTCTTCGGCTCCCAAAGTGGCTGGGATTTACAGGGTTTTTTTTTTCTTTTTTTTGGAGAGATGGAGTCTCGCTCTGTCACCCAGGCTGGGTGGCGTGGCGCGATCTGGGCTTCACTGCAACCTCCGCGCCCTGAGTTCAAGTGATTCTCCTGCCTCAACCTCCCAAGTAGCTGGGATTATAGGCACCACCACCATGCCCGCCTAAATTTTTTTGTGTTTTTAGTAGAGATGGGGGTTTCAACTGTGTTCGCCAGGCTAGTCTCAAACTCCTGACCTCGGTGATACGCCCTCCTTGCCTTGCAAAGTGCTGGGATTACAGGTGTAGCCCACACGCCTGGCCTGTTTTTGGTTTTTTTTTTTTTTTTTTTTTTTGAGACGGAGTCCTCGCTCTTCGCTCGGGCGCTGGAGCGAGTGGCCGGATCTCAGCTCACTGCCAAGCTCCGCCTCACCGGTTCACGCCTTGCTCCTCGCTCAGCCCTCTTGTAGCCGGGCTCAGACGGCCCCCGCCACCCATCGCCGGCTAGTTTTTTGTATTCTTTAGCTAGGAGCGGGTTTCACCCGTGTTAGCCCCAGCGAACTGCGCTCGACTCCTCCTGCTCGTGATCCGCCCGTCCTCCGGCCTCCCAACAGGCTGGGATACAGGCTGAGCCACCCGTGCCCGGCCTGGTTTTTTGTTTTTAAAACAGTCAACTTTGCTTTTAAGGAAAATTCTAAGAAGAAGGAAACGCTTCCATTTTTGACAGTTTCTTAAACATTTCTTCATTCTGTCAGTACTAATCGGTCGGTTATTATATTCTCTTCAGCCTGAAGACATTTTTAATATTTTCTTTTGGTAAATATGGATCTGCCAGTCACGCAAATTACTCTCGCTTTTGTTGATCTGACAACTCTTTGGCCTTTATTATGCAAAGGGCATTCTTCTCTGATATACAATTCCCTAGGTTGGACAAGCTTCTTTTTTTTTTTTTTTTTTTAACATTCCAGCAGTTAAGAGCTGATGTCACTTAAAAGATATCATCATACTCGCGCACGGGCACGGTGGCATCCAACGGCCTGTATTCCAGCACTTTGGTGGAGGCTGAGGCAGCGTTGGACTCACCTGAGTCCAGGAGTTCGAGACACAACCTGGCCAATATGGAGGACAACCCATCTCTACTAAATATAAAAATTAGCCGGGCATGGTGGCGCCCTGGACGATCCCGCTACTCAGGGAGGCTGCAGCCAGCGAGATCGCTTCAACTGGGAGGTGGAAGGCTGCATTGAGCCGAGATCGCGCTAGTGCACTCCAGCCTGGGCGACCAACACATGTGAGACTCTGCCTCAAAAGAAAAAAAAAAAAATTGACTTTGTTTTCTGGCCTGTATTGTTTCTGGTTAGAAGTTGGTGTTCACTCTTATCCTTATAAACTGTGTATCATGGCGCCCTTTCATCCTCTGCCTTAAGATTTTGCGTTCATTTTTGGCTTCAGCGATTTGGCCATCATGGTTTTTGCTTTCATCCTGCTTGGGGTCTGTGGGATGATCATTTTTGTCAAATTTAATACATTTTAAGCCACTGCTTCTGTAAATTACTTTTTCTGCATCATCTCTGCCTTTCCTTCCGGGACTTTCTTGTCCTGTATGTTGCTGAGGCCCTGCTTTTTTTTTCTCAGTTTTTATCTTTGCAATTCATTTTGGATGATTTCTGTGGTCCTGTCTTCAAGTTCACTACTCTTCTCTTTGTTTTTAATATACTCAAGCCCATCAAATGAATTTTTTTTTTTAATTTCTTGAGACAGGGTTTTGCTCTGTTGCCCAGACTGGAGTGCAGTGGCACAGTCATGGCTCACTGCAGCCTGGACCTCCCAGGCTCAAGCAATCCTCATGTTCATTCAGCCTCTCGAGTTGCCGAGACTACAGGCCTGTGCCACATGCCGGCTTTTTTTTTGTTTTTTGTAGAGACAGGGTCTCCCTATGTTACCCAGACAGGTCTCATAAACTCCTGGGCTCAAGCAGTCCTGTCACCTTGGCCTCCCAAAGTGCTGGGATTACAGATGTGAGCCCCTGCACCTGGCCCCATCTAATGAATTTAACCCTCTTTATTATAGAGATTCCCCATCTGATAAACTGTTATGTCCATGTTTTCTTTTAAATCTTGAAACATATTTATAACTTAAAAATATATACAAATATGGGGTCTTGCCCTGATGTTGCCCAGGCTGTTCTCACACTCCTTGGGTCAAGTGATTCTCCCTCCTCAGCCTCCCAAACTGTTGGGATCACAGGCATGAGCCACTGAGCCTGTGTTGTCCTTCTTTAAGGAGTCTCGGGTTTTATTCTTGCCGGTAGGTAATGAGTTTGTGGGTCAGCTTGATCTGTTTGAGGCTTGTTTCTAAGCTTTGTTTGGGCAGCTCTCCAGCACCTCTAGAGAAGCTGGGATAGAGCAGCCTAAGGTGTGTGGCCTCTCCAGGGCTTCAGTTGGGGTTTGGTGTCTCTGTGTCTCCGGTGAGGTCTTGCCACACTGGCTTTTGGAAGTCCAGCGTCTTTCAGCATTGCTTAACCTCTGGAGTTTGGACTCGGCTCATAGCTTTTTTTTTTTTTTTTGAGGCAGAGTCTGGCTTTGTCGACCAGGCTGGAGTGCAATGGCGCACTCTTGGCTCACTGCAGCCTCCCAAGTAGCTGGGATTACAGGTGCCCACCACCATGCCCGGCTAATTTTTGTATTTTTAGTAGAGACGGGGTTTGGCCATGTTTGCCAGGCTGGTCTCGAACTCCTGACCTCAGATGATCCACCCGCCTCAGCCTTCCAAAGTGCTGGGATTACAGGCGGGAGCCACCGCGCCTGGCCGGGGGGTGTGTGTTTTTAACTTACCCTGTTGGGGTTTGTGGTGCTTCTTGATTATGTTGTTTGATGCCTCTGGTTAGTTTGGGAAATTTTTCAACTGTTGTCCCCAAATATTCACTTTGCATATTTCTTCCCTCCCTTTGCCATCTCCCCCTGTGATCCAGTTACACACGTGTTAGGCCTTTGCATTGTGTCTCTTTCCTGTATTTTCCATCCTTTTGTCTTTTCATGCTGTAGTCTGGATATTTCCTTTTGAACAAACTTTTCACTAGTTCTCCCCGCCAGGAGCTGCAGAGGCTGGAGACAGAGTTGGGCCGTCCTGCTGAGCGCTGGAAGGACACCTGGGACCGGGTGAAGGCTGCACAGCGCCTCGAAGGCCGGCCAGACGGACGTGTGAGTGAGGGCCAGTGTGAGCGGCCACGGTGGGCCTGTTGCTGGGAGAAAGTGGCGTCTGCCCAGCCCTGACCCAAGTCCCAACCTCCTGTTTCCAGGGCACCCCTAGCTCCCTCCTGGTGTCCACCGCACCCCACCACCGCCGCTCGCTGGGTGTGTACCTGCAGGAGGGGCCCGTGGGCTCCACCCTGAGCCTCAGCCTGGACAGCGACCAGAGTAGTGGCTCAACCGCATCCGGCTCCCGCCAGGCCGCCCGCCGCAGCACCAGCACCCTGTACAGCCAGTTCCAGACAGCTGAGAGTGAGAACAGGTATGAGGGGCCCTCCCACTGCTGCACGGAAACCTCTGAGCTGGTGTTCTGGGGTCCCAGGCAGTCCTCTGGTGGGAGATGCAGGTGCTTTTGAGGAGCTTGTCATTTCTTAGGTTAGAAGGATTTGTTGGGAAGGCCACAGTGATGGCCTAAGTATACGCTACCATCGGGAGGGGTTTGGGGTGTGGAACTGGTGACTGCAGCCGACCACAGCCTGCAACGGCTGAGGGAGAAGCAGAAAGAGGGAGGTAGTGGGGCCCCCATGAGTCTGGAGCCTGACAGGATCCATCCCGGGCAGCTGCTGCCACGGCTGCTTCTACAGATCTACCTGCCCGGCATCCCTCTCGTCGTCAGGGCGACTGCCCTGTGTGTTGGGGCTGCTTTCCCAAGACCCTGGGGCTCTGCTGTGGGGAGGCTCCCTGGAGTCGAGGGGGTGGGGCATCCTTCACTGTCTGCTTTCTGGGCCGTCTTCCTGGGCTTGCAGCCCCGAGGCTGCTTTGTGGCCCCCTGGCCAGTGCCCTGGGCTTAGGTCAGTTCCGGGGACAGGGAGCCTGGTCTTACCTCCTGGGCTCGGACAGCAGGTGGGGACAACTGCTGGGGCCTGGGCTTGGCTGGGCCATGACAGCCAACCTGGCCCTGGTTCTGCTGCAAATGCAGGTCCTACGAGGGCACTCTGTACAAGAAGGGGGCCTTCATGAAGCCTTGGAAGGCCCGCTGGTTCGTGTTGGACAAGACCAAGCACCAGGTGAGTGATCAGGTGGTCGGGGGGACTCGGGGGAAGGGGCTGCGCTGACTCTGTGGCCTCCTCCAGCTGCGTTACTATGACCACCGTGTGGACACAGAGTGCAAGGGTGTCATCGACCTGGCGGAAGTGGAGGCTGTGGCACCTGGCACGCCCACCATGGGTGCCCCTAAGACTGTGGACGAGAAGGCCTTCTTTGACGTGAGCCTTGGCCGGGGCTTGGGAGAGGGGAGGGAGGGGCTCTGGGGTGTGGGGGCTGCGGAGTCAGTAACCTGCCCTTCCCCAGGTGAAGACAACGCGTCGCGTTTACAACTTCTGTGCCCAGGACGTGCCCTCGGCCCAGCAGTGGGTGGACCGGATCCAGAGCTGCCTGTCGGATGCCTGAGCCTCCCGGCCCTGCCCGGCTGCTCTGCTTCCAGTCGTTACCGACCACTAGGGGTGGGCAGGGCCGCCCCGGCCATGTTTACAGCCCCGGCCCTCGACAGTATTGAGGCCCCGAGCCCCCAGCACTTGTGTGTACAGCCCCCCTCCCTGCCCCGCCCCGCCCGGCCGGCCCTAACTTATTTTGGCATCACAGCTGAGCACCGTGCCGGGAGGTGGCCAAGGTACAGCCCGCAATGGGCCTGTAAATAGTCCAGCCAGCGGCTGCAGGCGAGTTTCTAGAACCAGAGTCTATATAAAGAGAGAACTAACGCCATGCTCCTGTGCCTGCCTTACCCACGTCCCAGCTGCCTGTTCTCAGCCTACCCAGAGGGTCCCATCTGCCCCTATCCAGGCCCACCTAGTGGGAGGCTGGCATCTTTCTCATGAGCCTTTCCTGGTGCCTGGGTCCACCCAGCTCAGCCTGCACGTCCCTGGGAGTGGCTTTGCTCTGGGGGCAGATCGAGCAGGAGGCTTCACTGGGGCCTTGCTTGATTCCCCCCAGGCCTCAGGGCTGGTCTAGGGGCCGGCACAGCTGGAGAGGAAGCTGCCATCCCTCCCCAGGGGGTGCAGAAGCTGGCATCACGGAGGCTTGGGGGGTGAAAGGGTGGGTAGTCATTTGCCCTCAGGAGGCTGTTGCAAGTCCAGAGGACACTTGAGGTGGACAGCAGCTTCTGGTTAGACCAGAGCTGAAGGGATGGAGGCCAGACCCAGGAGAGGGTACAGCGGGCGCCCAGGGGAATGCGGGTCGACCACATCTGGCCCTCTTCAGGCAGCAGGCGGCACCTGGCAGAGTGAGGGGGCAGTGCCCGTGGGGGATAGACCCTGTTCTTGGGAATTCTGGGGCCTCAGAGGGCCCCGGTCCTTCCCTTCTTGGTGTCACTGTGGCCCCTCACTGCTCTTCCCATTCAAACCTGAGTCCCACCCGGCCCAGGGCTTCGCCTGCTGAGCTGCTGTGTCCTTGCCTGTGGTGAGGCCTGGCCAGGGGTGTGGGAGCAGAAGGTGGGGAGGGGTGTAGGTGCTGCCAAGGCCAAGAGAACATCTGAGAGTGGCACCTGGTGACCTGGCCAGAGGGGCTGGTGGGGGACAGGGGACCCAGCTAGAGGCCCCTCTCAGGTGGGAGGTGAGCAGGTGGGGGTGAGGGGAGGGTTCTGGTGATGGCTGCAGAGGTGGGGCCTGGTGCTGGCAGGTGGGGGGGCCAAGACCCTCCCCTGGGGGGACGTTGAAGCCAAGGACGGCCTTGGACCCTGTCAGGCCCAGCATGATGCCACCACCTCCCCCACCAAACAGGTGGTGCTGGGACACCGGGGGGGAGACGTGGTCGGGCTCACTTGAGCCACTCAAACCAGCCAGGTCTTCCCTCAGGCCAGGCAGATGGAGCCTGACCAAAGTTCCTGGCACCTGGGAAACCCACAGGTCAGAGTAAGGGGAGAAGGGACCCTGCCCTCCCTATTCCACGTTTGTGGGGGGAGAGGACAAATGCCAGGCACAGGGCAGGGGGTGAGAACAAGGCAGAGTGTGTAGCTGGGGCGGAGACGGCCTGTGGGGAGCTGGGCAGGTCCTCGCCAACCGTGGTGGAAGGAGACCCTTGAGTCATTTTTCAGACGAGCCCCCGGGCGGGGGTTCCCACTCAGTGAGGCCAAGGTGGGGCCCAGGCTTCCGGGAGGGGGAGGGGGAGCTGGCACAAAAGCAAGGCCTGGGGTTGGTGTGTTTGAGCGTCAGGTGAAGTGGCCCCCCCATCCCCCAAACAGGAAAAAGCTCAGTATTTGCTCAGAGATAGAGACCTGCTGTTGTGACGTGGCCTGTTCCACCTCCACCCATTACACGGGGATGATCCTGGGGGATGGGGGGCCACGAAAGAGACGCAGGAGGAGACCCTCCCACCCCTGGCCGGACTGGGGCTTTGGGGCCAGAAGGTTCACAATACGCGGTTTGTCCGAACGTCACGGCTTTTATTGGGAGTTGGGGGTTTTGGGTGCCCTGTCAGGTGATCAGAACATTAAAAATGGACTCAACGTAAAATAATCTTCTGGACCCTTCTAGGACAACATGGCCATGACCAGTAGTGCTAGAAACCAGTCTTCAAGCCCCCAGTGCCAAGCCATGGCCCCCCACTTGCACACCTGTGGTCTCCCCCTGCCAGGCACCCTGTGCTGGGCACAGGGACATCCCTGCCAGGCCCAGAGGGCCTTGTGATTTTAAGGCAGTCAAATCTCGCAGCCTGGTTCAGTGCCAGCTCCAAGGGCTACTGGGCAGCTGCAAGGGTCTGAGGCCCTTATGCATTCCTGTGAGTCGGGTGTCCCCAACCCAGGCCCTTGACTCTGCCCTGAGCTTGCAGCTGGATACAAAGTGCAAAAAAGCTTGGCTCCTTCTGTATTCTTTAAAAAAGTCTCTAAAAACAGCCTCCAAGTCCACGCCCTTCCTGGCCCATCAGGTCCTGGTGGCATCTCAGGGTCCTGCCCCCCACCCTCACCCCCACCCCGGCTCCTGCAGGCAAACCTTATTGCTGTGCTCCGGGCCTGGGGGCGGCTGAGGTGCCCCTCTGTCCTCCAGCAGGGCACGAGTGACCTGAGAGGCCCACTCAGGCAGAAGAGACGCAAGCTGGGCCGTCCAACTGGTTTCAACTGCCAGCTTTACCAATGCAGCATTTATTTTAAAATTAAATTAAATTAAAAAAAAAAAGATTGCATCACCAGGTAGTTTTCTCGATTAAGGATGCAGCCTGACCAGGGCGGGCCGTGGCCGGGCGGCAGCAGCATCACACTGGGCCATTTAAGGCAGCTCCTTCCGGCGGGGCATCTCTCTTCCTGCAGGAATGGGGTGGGGTTGGAGCCGTGCGGGCTGCGGGCCCTGTCCGCACCCCCTACCCCCACACTCAACCTGCTCACCTGTCCTTTGTCACTGTCCCCAGGGTGGCCACCATGGCTGGGGCTGTTGTGACTGCCATGATGGGCCCTAGGGGGACCGCCACGGCCACTGCAGAAGAGACTGCTGGGCTGGGTATGGCGGGGCCAGCCTTGCTCAGTGCTGTGCTGATGGCCACAGCAGCCTCGGGGGGCGGAGCCACGGCTGGGGCAGCGGTCACTTCCTTTGGCGCGGGGCAGGCAGGATCTAACAGCCGGCTGTTGGCACACTCGGCCCTGTGTGGCAGACACGGGTTCCGGTTAGGGGCACCCCCACCCTCAGTGCCACCCCACCTCATGCCAAAGGACCAGCTGGACAAAAAGGTCCAGGTGGCCTGGAGCACCATCTTTGGCCCCTCCCACTCCTGCCCTCTGTGGGGTGGCCCAGGTTGTGCCCAGCTAGGCAGCTCTGCGGCCCCGAGTTCCAAGTACTGGGACAAGCTGCCTGTCCACTGATGACCTCAAACCTCCTTCCAGGCAGCGCTCAGATCCTGCTCATCAAGCGCCTCATTCTCCAGGGGCCCCCGAGGCTCCTGTGCTGTGATCTCAACGTCAGCCTTACACTGGGCACAGTGTGGGGAAACCGCCCGAGGGATGGGAGGGGAGGGAGGATCCTGCTGGGCATCTAAGGGGCTTGCTCTGGAGGGGGTCAGGCACCCCAAGGCCCAGCCTGGCCACGAGCAGCAGATGGGCCCTCTGGCCTCCTGCAGGGCGAGGACACTGAGTGTCTGACCCAGCGAGGGGCGCTCAGGCCGGGCGGGGGTGCGAGGAGCTCACCTGCAGGCTGGACCGCCAGGACAGTGCAGGCACAGCTCTAAGTGGCAAGTTTTATGCAGACAGCCCCGTGGAAAAAAGCAACTTACTTTGCACAATGATATTCCCCACTTTTCAGAGCAAAGCTTTTTACGGGTTGTTTAGGAAAAGTGGGTAAAGGTTTGTTTTGGTTGACAGAGTCTCTGACGCCCAGGCCGGAGTGCAGTGGTGCGATCTCGGCTCACTGGTTCAAGCGATTCTCCTGCCTCAGCCTTCCGAGTAGCTGGGACTACAGGGGCCCGCCACCATGCCCAGCTAATTTTTGTATTTTTAGTAGAGATGGGTTTCACCATATTGGCCAGACTGGTCTGGAACTCCTGACCTCGTGATCCCCCTGCCCCAGCCTCCTAAAGTGCTGGGATTACAGGCGTGAGCTACTGTGCCTGGATGGGTAAAGACTGTTAAGAATTTCAGTGACTAGGCTGAGTGCAGTCACTGCTCAACAGCGCAAGACTTGCACAACAGCGCAAGACTCCATCTCAAAAACAAAAACACAAACAAAAAATTATTTTCAGTGACTAAACTTTAAGAAGGAATGAAGCCCACGCAGGAACTCTGTATGACTTTCAACCTGAGGGGCTCTGGCCTGGGCTTCCCAGTGACTTCGGCATCGGGACATCCACTGCTGTGGCGTTGGCCCCGTTTCCCGTGCTGTGCCCCCCACTTGCTGCAGATGCCCTGAGGACAGGGTGGCCAAACAAGGGGAGAAGCTGTGAGCACAGACGGGGCCTGCCGGTCAACAGGGCGGGGAGAGCCAGCCCGGCGCTGAGCTTGCAGCTTGGCTGGGGGAGATGCCCGGAGCCCCAGTACCACACAGACCTTCCAGGACTGCTGGGGGTCAGCGAGCAGGACCCTCTGAGATGGCAGACCTGCTCCACATGTGAGGGGAGGGCAGCACAGGGGGGACGCATGCAGACTGAGGCCCTTCACAACCACGGAGCCAGGAGGGACTGGGATGTACCACCAGGCGACAGGCACCTTGTCCCCTCCTAGAGGAATCCAGTCCAAGGACTTCCCCACTGTTGCCTGGACCTACTGGGAGCTCAGGTCCCAGGGCCTTTGCACAGCTGTACCCTTGCCGGGTGCACCCTCGTCCCCCCGTCAAGCCCAGTCCTACCCTCCCCCTTAGGTTTACCTGGCCCTGGCATCTACCCCATCTGTCCTGCCCTCCTGCTAATCTCCCACCCCCTGACCCCAGAGGTCAGAGAGGTATCTGTTCACTGAAGAATGCCAGGGACCTTCTTCCTGTGGAGGGATGGATGGGGTTCAGCTTGCTGGAGGGGCCGGCCAGATGCCAGCCTCCTCACAGGGAGTGCCTCCCTCTCCACTCTCTCCCCAGGAATGGCTCTTGGGGGCTCAAGGGAGCCTGGGCCTCTGCCCACCTGCAAGCTGCCTCCAACTCTCAGGGTCTGGACCCCCCAAATGCAGTCCTGAGGCCCCCGCCCCCATTCTACTGTCCTGCTTCTGAGGCGTCTGGGAATCACAGGCCTCCCGTGGAAGGGGAGCAGCGGGCGAGGTCTGTGTGAGCTCCACAGATGCCCGCTCGCCTGCCGGACTTAAAGTCTGTGCCCCTCCCTGACCACCAGGGTACCCAGATCCCAGGCGGCTCAGCCAGGCCCAGAGCCCCAAGAACTGGGCTGTTCTCTCCAACCGGGATCTGGGGTAGGGGCTGCTCCCCCAAGTCCCTGGAGGACTGTCTGGGACACCCAGGCCCTGTCTTCTTGTCTTAACCACTCACAACGGAGAACACAGATGTTCTGTCCAAGAAACGAGCCCCACCCTCCTCCCATCCGGCTCCACTTAATGTGCAGCATCACCCTGAGCATCACTCCCCCGAGCATCACCCCCCGAGCCAGCCTCGGAAGAGTCACAGGCACCACCACCCCGAGCCAGCCTCTGAGGGCCACTGGGCCATGGGGGAAGCAGTGTGGGGAAGACCTCTGGCCTGGCCTCGGCCTGCTCTGGGAGGAGCTGAGACCTGGGGACGGCCTGGAAGTCGCACCCTTTGCACTTGGGCAGGCCCGCCCCGCTCCCCACGCCCCACACACCTGCTGACAGCCTCCTCTGTCCTGGCCCCTGTGGGCCGCGGGGGGGCCTCCCGGCCAGGACTCCTGCTCACGGCATCCACGGCACTCGCTGCCTTCTGATAGTCCTCGCTGTCGGAGCCCCCAGAGGAGCTGCTGTCAGAGGCCAGCAGGGGGGCCTTCCTGGTGACACATACGTTCCAGGCACATGGAGAAGCTGGGCTGACTGCAAAGGAGGAGGCCCGTGCTGTCCAGTGAGGCAGGAGGGGCCACAGGGCACGGCCACCCTGGCCATAGGGCCCCCATACATGTGGCCTCTCACATGCAGCCTGTTGCCTGCACACGTGTGCCTGTGTGAGAGCCGCAAGATGAGGCAGACAGGCTCACGCACCTGCCATGGGGTCTCCACACAAGCAACCCTGTTGCCTCCCCCATGATACAGGGCAACACGCCTTGGTCTCACAGGAGGACACAGAGGCTCAGGGAGGGGCCCGCTCCGCCTCATATGGTCCTGCCACAGCTCCTTCAAGCACCTGGGACACCAGTGTTGGCAGCCAGCTGTCACTCTCCTGGAGCTCTCAGCCTTATCTGGGGGAGCTTCTGAGCCTGACTAGGGGGCTGGGGGCCAGGGGCTCTGATCAGGCCCCAGAACGGCTTCCTGCCAGCACCCCACCCACATACATCTCAATACTGGGGTCCCGGGGCTGCTGGCCGGAACCCGGGGTGCAGGCCTGGGCTGTGCCACCTACTCAGACCGGACTCAGGGCCAGCCCGATGGCCTTGCTGCCTCCCCCCTGGGGGCCTCCCCATCTGCACGTGGCTGCTCCAGTCCCACTGCTGTATCAAACCCCAATGTCACCAGAGGCCCAGCAGCATGCGGGGCCCTGGCCACCACCTCCCACTGCCCCCAAGGAGGGCGGCCAGCTGGCCTCAGGCCTTAAACTGGGCAAGGCTGGGCCTCTGCAGGAACCTGGGTGCTGCCTGCACTACTCCTACTCACAGGCTTTCTCAGGGCCTTGGCTCCGGCTGCCCTCAGCCCGGCTGCGTTCTGTGTCCACTGGAGAGCTGCACCTGGGCCCTGACTCGGAGCTGCAGGCAAGCACGAGGACAGGGTCAGTCCCGGGGGACGGGCGCCTCCTGACCCTGACGGGCACTTCCTGGCACGGCCCCCTCCTGCCAGCGCATTTGTTACCAGCAGAAGGGCTGGAAGTCGGTGAACTTGGCCCAGCCTTTCTCCTCTGGAGCTGAGGTACCAGCTGCCCACACGCTGGAACCCACGTCCCTCACCACTCCTGGGGCTGTGGGTGTCGAGTTCGCTGGCTCATCAAACACTGCCGTCCACATGGCGCCTGCTGGGGGAGACGGGTCAGGTGTGGGCAGGCCTGCCTGGGGTACTGCAGGCAAAGGGAAGGCAGCACCCCCACCCCAGGGGCCCCACAGAGGTTGACAGGAACATGGAGCTGATCCAGGAGGGAGGGCTGGGCAGTGCGCATCAGCCCCTCAGAGAGCAACGGGGCAGCTTGAGGGTCCTGACAAGCTGCCAACACCCATGGGGCATGTGACCCGAGGCTCAGGGAGGCGCCTGAGGGGCCCAAGGCCTCCAGCAGGGCTGAACTGACCGTGGAGGTGACACCACTGCCCTGCCCTAGCCAGGAACGCAACCGACAGAGACGGCAGCTCACCGAGCACCACTGGCCCCTCCCTGGCCTCGAGGATGGGGTGCCTCCCTCCTATCTGGGATGTTCGTGCTTCCCCAGGGTGTCACCCTTGCTCCGTCAGCCTCAGCTAAGAGCTCAGCACCTCCTAACAGAGATTCCTGTCCCCCCGCAAAGTCCTGAGTGCCGCCCAGATTCCGGTCCCCCCGCAAAGTCCTGAGTGCCGCACAGATTCCGGTCCCCCCCACCCAAAGTCCTGAGTGCCGCACAGATTCCGGTCCCCCCCACCCAAAGTCCTGAGTGCCGCACAGATTCCTGTCCCCCCCGCCCAAAGTCCTGAGTGCCGCACAGATTCCGGTCCCCCCCACCCAAAGTCCTGAGTGCCTCACAGATTCCTGTCCCCCCCGCCCAAAGTCCTGAGTGCCGCACAGATTCCGGTCCCCCCCACCCAAAGTCCTGAGTGCCTCAGTGCTGCCTCCAGGGCAGGGATAAGGAGAGGGGTCTTATCAGCCATGGTGGGGTGGACCAGCTCCTGCCACAGACGTAGGCTGTGAGGGTGGCGGCCGGCCTGAGCTGCTGTGCTGGGGAGGGCGTCAGGCCCATGCCCAATTTTGTGGGGGCCGGGTGGACGATGAAGACTAGGTGGACACCACCCACTAGCCTTGGCAACGTGGCTGAGTGACCACAATCAAGAGGCAGGGCCAGGAGACCACCTTGTGCCGGGCACAGGGCAGCACAGACCCCTACTCGGGATGGCTGGGAAAGAGCTGGGGATGCAGGCTCCGGGCCACAGTGAGCCCCAAATGAAGCTTCCACAACACCCAGGCCAGGGTACCATGTCCTGTCCCCAACACCCACAGCCCCGGCCCCCAGCGCCACCTTCTGAGTCACCCTCCACAGTGGGGGCTTCCTTCTTCCCAGGGGCCAGGGGGGCACCTGCCCCAGGTGCATCTCCGTGTGCTTCTGAGCTCGCCTTCCCGTCCTGGCCTCCGTGCTCTGGGCCATTCTTTGAGCAGCTGTCTGAAGCATGGGGGGCTCCAAACCTGGGGGAGACTCAGAGTCAGATGCCTGGTGGCCCAGGATGGACGCCTAACGTTGAGGGTTAGTGACGGCCCCAGGCTCGGGGCTGAGAGTGAGCACAGATCATCTCGAGAGAGGAGCAGGAGTCGCTCTAGGCCTCAGCTCCGGGCTCCTCAGGGTCACCCGCTGCGTTGGGCCCCAGAACTTGCAGGACAGGTGAGCCTGCTCTGCGAGCCAGAGTTAACAAACAGCAGGGCGTCGGGGCGTCTGACAGGTGTTCTGGTGGCTGCACCTCCTCGGCAGAGGCTTTGGGGGATGGGCGGGCCCCGCACCTGGCTCTGGCCATCGCCCGGGTGGCACAGCGAGTGTCACTGTCCTCCCAGATGTCCTCGTCCTCATCGTCATCAAAGGGCTGGATGCGGTCGCTGCAGCAGGCCTCAAACAGAGCTGCGCTGGGCTGCCGAGTAAAACGCCAAGGTCAGTTTCCAGAGGGTCTGGGGGAGACAGGAGGTGCTCTCCCCAAAGGGCTCCCAGAGGGGCTTAGTTCAGGATGTGGGAGCCCCAGGCTGGAGGGCAGGATGGGGAGGGGCAAGGAAAGCGACTGTTCCGAGCTCCACAGAGGGGCCTCCCCCAGCCCCACCGCACAGGCCCACGGCAGACCACAGGCCCATGGCAGACCGAGCCATGGGCGCGGCCTGAGCTGCCTGGGAAAAGGGTGCCTGCACGCCACACAGCCCCGCACAGTGCCACACAGCCCCGCTGGCTCACACTGTCCTCGTCAGCGTCGATGTTGAAGTTAATCTCTGCAATCCTGTCAAACGGGGCACTGCAAGAGCAAGGAGGGTGGTCTCAGCGCTCCTGCCTCCTCACTGCTCATCTGGGGCCGCAGTTCTCCTCCCCCGGTGCTCACTAGGGACATCAGGCCGCACTCCTGGCAAGGCCTCAGGGAGCTGCCCCCATGGGACCCCAGCAGCGAGGACGGGCGTCCAAGCAGACTCACTTGATGTTGTCGTCCTGGTCTGCAAACTCCTCATCATTGAAGCCAAACTGATCCACGAAGCTGGCTGCCATCTGCTGGATCTGGTAGTCAGAGAAGGCCTGGGAGGGAGGGAGCAGGGACACCAGTCATGGAGCAGCCTCAGGCCTGGAGGCTGCTCTTTGGAACCACAGGCTCTCTAGTTGTTCAGGAGCTTCTCCCCCAGCAAAAGCCGGCAGTAAACTCTGACCGTTCAGGGCTCACGATTCTACCAAAACTCAGGCTGCGCGCCCGCTGCGGTCACATCGGAGATACGCCCCATATTCTGACTTTGGAGTCCATCTGCTGTGTTCTCAGCGCTCTCATCAAGGTGGAGTGACTTTGGGGTTCTCCCCTCAGACCCACCCCGCCCCATACGTGCTCGGAGACGAGCCCCCTCTCCCCTTTGCTAGTGAGATGCCATCAGACTCGTCTGGAGGACCAAGCGCAGCGCACACAGGTGCCGGCCACGCCCTCACCTGCTGAAGGGACAGCTCGTTAGGGAAAGCACCCTCAATGTCCTCGTCCTCACTTGAGGAGTGAAGGTGGTGAGTGCTCACCTAAAACACAGGCCAGATGGGGTGGGCGTGTGAGCCAGCCCAGCGCCCCAGATCCCACCCAGCCCAGCGCCCAGGACCCTGCCCAGCCCAGGGCTCCCAGACCCCGCCCAGCACGTCACTCGTCAGATCTCTGGGCCCCAGAGGCCGTGTTGTGTAAGGTGCCCAGGTGAGGCCAAGGCCCCGTGACAGCCCAACCTCCATGTGCAGGGGGCAGGTTGTGGGTCTCAGGCAAAAGGAGCCCTCTGCCAATAAGCTACAGCTCCTGGAGTGGGAGGGAAGGGAACTGAGGCCAACACCGGCTCTGCACAGAGGTCCTCAGAGACCCAGCCCTGGTGTGGCACAGGACAGGGTCTCTGTTACGGACACCAGCCCAGAGGACACACTGCACACTTGCGGGCTACGCAGGGGTGCCGCGCGCAACAGGAGCAGGCAGGTGTGCGGCCCTTGTGCCTCCCTTGGCCTCTGCCTCAGGGCAAAGGCAGGAGCGTCGGACGGCGTCCCAGCACCGTGCACATGCCGAGGGGGCAGCCTCGAGCCTCCTCACCAGGTCCACAGTGTTCCTGCGGTTCGTCTCCGTCAGTGTCTCCTCCACGAAGCTCTCCCAGCGGCCACGGCAATCCGCAGGGAGCCCTGCAAGGGAAGTGCTGCCTGGTGAGCCCTGGGAGACCCCGTGCAGATGGCGCAGGGCACCCAGGAGCTACAGCAGGTGCATTGTGGGTCCAGGAGGATGGGGCGCTGCTACTGCGGTCAGTCCGTCTGAGGGTCTGAAGCACGGGCTTTGCTGGATGGGAAGGAGGCAGCATAGCTGCGTGTCCGGAGGGACCTAGGGCCACACTGAGATTGAGGTGCAGCAACTGTGGGCAGGGTGGTGGGTACATCTGCTCCTACCGAGACCCCAATGGGCATCCGAGTTCCAAGTCTGTTGGTGCGGAAGCCCACAGTGAGGAACTCCCAGAAACGAGAAGCCGTGGAACAGAATCTAAGAAAGCAGCCAGCCTCCTCCTCCCGGCCCCACGCCGGCCGCCTCCTCCCGGCCCCACGCCGGCCGCCTCCTCCTCCCCGCCCCACGCCGGCCGCCTCCTCCTCCCCGCCCCACGCGCCGCTCCTCCCCGCCCCACGCCGGCCGCCTCCTCCCCGCCCCACGCCGGCCTCCTCCTCCCGGCCCCACGCCGGCCTCCTCCTCCCGGCCCCACGCCGGCCTCCTCCTCCCGGCCCCACGCCGGCCGCCTCCTCCCGGCCCCACGCCGGCCGCCTCCTCCCCGCCCCACGCCGGCCGCCTCCTCCCGGCCCCACGCCGGCCGCCTCCTCCCGGCCCCACGCCGGCCTCCTCCTCCCGGCCTCACAGGCCCATCCCCGCCCCACGCCGGCCGCCTCCTCCCCGCCCCACGCCGGCCGCCTCCTCCCGGCCCCACGCCGGCCTCCTCCTCCCGGCCTCACAGGCCCAAACTCAGCAGCAGCCCACAGGCCTGGACACGTGTCCTGGTCCTGTCTGTTTTTCCGGGGAGGTCAGAGCCCTGGAAGGACTCACCATCTGGAGATCGTGTGGGATGACCCAAGAGCTTCCTGCTTGCCCCTCACCTCCCTAAACTGCCTCTGCCCCGGGGAGCCGTCCCCGGTCTCGACCTCTACCCATGTGCTTTGCCCTCCAGGATGTGGGGAAGCTCCTCCTGCCCTTTTATTATTTATGACGGCAGCCAGTGGGCCTGACCTCGCCAGGGCCTAATGGAGCCCAACCCAGGAGACCCCTCACTATGGTCCTGGGGTGCAGGGAGGACTATCCAGAGCTTCTTCACCTTACACAGGTATAGGGAGGAGGGGCCACAGCTGGGCCCGCCTCTGCCACACATGTGCTGTGCCTGTGCCCATCTAACCCACTGTGTTCTTAAGAAACAGGCTGCTACCTGCTCCCCTGAGACTTGTGCTAGGAAGTCTCACACCTGAGTGAGAATGAGACTCTCCAATCACCTGAGTGCAGAGCACACGGCCAGGACAGCCCAGCCAGGCAGGGCTCCATCAGATGCAAGGAGCCTGGCGGTGCTAATGGCTTCTGAGCACCAGCTCCAGAGTCACCAACTGCCCCGGCAGGACTGTCTCTTGTGCCACATGCTGACGCCTGGCAGGGTCTCCACAGTCCGCCCAACAGAACTGACACATGAAACCCAGGCCCCCCTGAGGAGGTATCTGATGTGTGAAGTGAGAGCACAGAGGCGGCCGCGGGGTCTCTCACTGTCAGTGCAGTCAGCACCTGCTGACGGGCAGAGGGCAGCCTCAGGCGGCAGCTCCTTTGGGGCTCCGGTGCCCATGACCAGCAGGATGACCGGGTTGGGGGCTCACCTCGGATGACCTCGCTGATGTGCGTCTGCACAGGGCCCCGCTCCAGGTTCTGTACCACCGCGTTGGCGATCCGTGTGAGGTGGCCCATGTTCCCACGTCTCATGCCACCCGCTGCCCTGAAAGCAACAGGCACCATCAGGGCGGCCTCCTAGTCCTGACCTTGCCAGACCCACGACCCAGAGAACCAAGTGGCAGAGGCCTCCAGGTTCACTTCCAGAGCAAGTGCCTGGCCTCTGCCCAGCGCTCGCGCCCCCGGCCCTGCCTCCAGGACACTTTCTGTTTGAGCAGCACCTGCCACATGCAGAGGCTCACCCCAACCTCACCACCAAAAGTGCCCCTGAGACAGACGAGGAGACAGACACTGCTCTCACCCCATTTTACAGACAGGGAAATGGAGGCAGAAAGGCCGTGGCATGGCCTAAGCCCCGCTGGTGGCAGCAGTGGCACAGGAGGTAAGCGCACCCTGTCAGCTACAAAGCTCAGGCTCAGCACCCTGCAGGGAGGGGCGGGCAGGCCCTCCATGCTGTGCAGCCCAGCTCAGCCTCTGCTTCCCCACAGCTGCACTCAGACCCCTCCCAGCTTCCGTGAGTCCCTCCTCACATCGCCCAGAGCCAGAAAGCTCCCAGCAGAACAACCAATGGGTGGCGATGGCTCTGGGCCCAGGACAATAAGCAAGACATGTGTTCTGACAGAGGGAGCACCCATTAAGCAGCAGATACGGAAAGACCAAAATAATGTGTCCCCGTGTGTGAGTGCTGACGGAGGGCCTGAGTTCTTGGGGAAGATTAGGAATGGACAGGGGACTCGCAAGAGTTTGGCAAAGCCTAGGCAAACCAGGTTGGGCGGGGGCCAGACCAGGTGCCTGGTGGGGACGGGACCGCTTCCTGTCAGCTCCCCGTGTCCCCTCCCCAAGTAGCATTTGCAGCTGTCCGCCCAGTAGGAGGGCCCCTTGCACGGCAGCCCCAGAGTGTGGGGCCGCATCGCACACCCGACACTCCACCCGATCCTGCAGTCCTGCACGCAGTGCCGCCAGGGCTTGAGTGAGGTGCGTCTCTGCATCCCTGACTGGCCAGGCTGGGTCCCTCCATGTCCGAGTGGCTCTTACTGTGTGTGGTCGTTGGCTTCCCAGGCCTCCAGGATCCTCTGCACCAGGCAGCACTTCTGGAACAGCTGGTGGGTGGGGTGGGGGGCAGCGTGAGTCAGGGTCTGAAGGAGGCATGCACCCCTCCACCCATCCCTGGACTGGGCAGGGCTGGCTGGCGGCCACCATGTCTGTGTGGACTTTGCAGGCCCTTAACTGCTGCACACGCACAGCCTCAGCCTCCGTGGTCCTCACCAAACACCAGAGGAGGGTGCTATTCAGCAGCTCATACTGCTGAGCGCCCTGAAGATGAAGCCTGAGAAAAGGACCCTCTCCCTTCTCCTCTGACTCCTGGAATTGCCCCCTGACCCTTGCCTTCCCCTGGGCCTTCTCCCCATCTCTCAATTGCCCCCGACTGTGGTCACTCTCCTACCCTCTTCCTCTGTGTCCAGAGGGAACAACTAGTGCTGTTTGTCCTCAGCACTTTCTCTCACCTCCAGGCCCTGAGACAGATCACTTCTTGTACCTGAGATGTTTTTCCTGGGCTCCACCTCACACTACGATATACCCGTAGCCCTGCTATCTGGGTGACGGTCCCTGGTTGGCCTGCAGATCCCTCAACACCCTCTCCCCACCATGCGGTTCCCATCACTGACACTGCTGGCCCCTGGGCATTTATTCTCCGGGCCTCCAGCTGGAGGCCAGACTGGACTCATCTTATCCAGTGCTAACTCCTGCCAGGCCCGCACACAGAAGGCACCAGCGTCCTGCTGAAGGCAGGTGGCAATGAGACCTGCAAGCCCCACTCAAGCCCAAAGCCCCACTGTCTCCGAGCCTCTGACCGACACCTGGGGACCCTTTTCCAAGCCCAAGCCCCACAGTCTCCCAGTCCCTGACAGACACCTGGGGACCCTTTTCCAAGCCCAAGCCCCACTGTCTCCAAGCCTCTGATCGACACCTGGGGATCCTTTTCCAAGCCCCACTCAAGCCCCACTGTCTCCGAGCCTCTGACCGACACCTGGGGATCCTTTTCCAAGCCCCACTCAAGCCCCACTGTCTCCGAGCCTCTGACCGACACCTAGGGACCCTTTTCCAAGCCCTGCCCCCGTGTCAGCTGCACAGCAAGGTCCGGCACACGTCAGCGCTGACGTGGACGCGGTCTGACTGGGGCGCAGCTGGCGCTGAAGCTGGATGCTGCTTGGACTCACGTGGGTCACCATTGTGTTGTCAGGGAGGCTGGCAGGAGGCTGTGGGGTCTCCAGGCTCCGGTTCCCGTTCTCATGCAGAGGCTCCGCCCTGCTCTCGGACCCGCTGGCTTCTGTCCTGTCCTCGCGGGCGGCGTGGGAGAGAATAGCGGCTATGCAGAGCTCCACTTGGAAGTGCAGAAAGTTATTCCAGGTGTACTTAAAGAACAAGTCCTGGGTAAAGAGGACAGAAGACAGTTCTTAGGTCGGTTTTCTCCTGCCGGCTACACCACAAAGGGGAGGGAAACCCTTCCTAAAGGTGGCGTCCTAACTCCTCACGAGTAGTCTCTGGGCAGCCAGGAAGGAGTTTTAGGCGTTTTCCTGAGGCTCATCTCTCTGTTAAGGAGCTTCTTCAAATTCAAATAGCCACAGGGCACTTCCGTCTCCTGCCTGTGGGTGTCCATCGGTCTCTGCTCCGATGTGAGTCATCATCTTCTTTCTACTTTCTGCGGGTTTATTCTTTTTTTTTTTTTTTTTTTGAGATGGAGTCTTGCTCTGTTCCCAGGCTGGAGTGCAGTGGCGCGATCTCGGCTCACTGCAACCCCTGCCTCCTGGGTTCAAGTGATTCTCCTGCCTCAGCCTCCCGAGTAGCTGGGATTACAGGTGCCCGCCACCATGTCCAGCTAATTTTTCTATTTTTAGTAGAGACAGGGTTTTGCCATGTTGGTCAGGCTGGTCTTGAACTTCCAACCTCAGGTGACTTGCCCACCTCAGCCTCCCAAAGTGCTGGGATGACAGGCGTGAGCCACCATGCCTGGCTTCTTTTGTCCTTAAGTTGGAAGCTTAACTCATTAATTTGCAGCCTTTCTTCTTTTCCAGTCTGTCTTTAAAGGCTACATTTCCCCGTATACAATCAACTTTAACTACATTCTACACATTTTGCTGAGTAGTATTTTTATTCTTCTTCAGTTCTAAGTATGTGAAAAGTTCCTTTATGAGTCTGCCTTTCTTGTGAGTTACCGGAAGTGTGTTAGACTCTCGAGCACATGAGGATTCCACCCAGGGGGAGGGGCATATCCAGACACCCCTTAAGGGAGCCCAGACCTAAGCAGCATGGGCTGAAGCCCAGAGGAGGCTCTGGCCACCTAGGCACTCCCCTGGGGACAGAGGTGGCAGAGCGAGGACAGCTGCTGTCTCTCACCTCCCATGCAGCCCCTTCCAGACGAGGACAGAGAGGGGGACATAGGTCTGACCCACTCACCCCCTACTGTTGCCTCTCACATTCCAGGGGCCACGGCAGCCTGTGTCCCAGACCCTGTTCCGCCTCCACGGAGGAGGAGGACTGTGTGGGGAGGGGAATGGGGGGAGGTATATATTCCACACCAGGATTCGAGCTTGAGCCCCTGGTTCCACACAGTGGGGTTGGAGCTAGAGAAAGGCGGGAGGCTCATTTGCTTCATGTTCTTCTCTACAGGAACACGCTCCTAAATCTCAGCTTCACCTTCTCTGCCCACGTGACCTTGAGCAACCCTGGAGAAGGCTTGACTGTGTTACCTCGTCTATAACATGGGGTCAGACCTACCTCTCAAGAAAGGAAAGCCCAGACAAGATGACTCTGCTGGGAAGTTCTACCGAACATTTATTTTGCTGCCGCTTGTTTTTCATGTCCTGACGATGAGTTCTACCACACGTTTAAAGAAGAACTGACACCAATCCTTCTCAAACTCTTCAAACACACTGAAGAGGAGAGAACATTTTCTAATTCATTCTGTGAGGACAGCATTACCCCGATGCCAAAGCCAGACAAGGACACTACAAGAAAAGAAAACTACAAACCAATACTCCGTATGAACATGGATGCAAAATACCAGCAAACCAAACTTAGCATCTTATCAAAAGAATTACAGGCCGGGCGCAGTGGCTCAAGCCTGTAATCTCAGCACTTTGGGAGGCAGAGACGGGCGGATCACGAGGTCAGGAGATCGAGACCAGCCTGGCCAATATGGTGAAACCCCGTCTCTACTAAAAGATACAAAAAACTAGCCGGGCGAGGTGGTGGCGCCTGTAGTCCCAGCTACTCCGGAGGCTGAGGCAGGAGAATGGTGTAAACCCGGGAGGCGGAGCTTGCAGTGAGCTGAGATCCAGCCACTGCTCTCCAGCCTGGGCGACAATGAGACTCCGTCTCAAAAACAAAACAAAACAAAACAAAACAAAACAAACAAACAAGAATTATATACCAGGATAAAGTGGGATTTGCTCCTCAAATGCAAAGATGGATCCACATATGAATATCAATTGATATACGACATTAACAGGGTAAAGGACAGAAGCCAAATGATATCTCAACTCATACAAACAAAATCTGATAAAATTCCACATACAGCCGGGTGCGGTGGCTCACGCCTGTAATCCCAGCACTTTGGGAAGCTGAGGAGGGTGGATCACCTGAGGTGAGGAGTTCAAGACCAGCCTGGCCAACGTGGTGACACCCGTCTTTACTGAAAATACAAAAATTAGCCGGGCGTGGTGGTGGGCACCTGTAATCTCAGCTACTCAGGAGGCTGAGGCAGGAGAATCACTTGAGCCCAGGAGGCAGAGGCTGCAGTGAGCTGAGATCACGCCACCACACTCCAGCCTGGGCAACAGGAGTGAAATTCTGTCTCAAAAAAAAAAAAAAATCAACGTACTTTCTTGATCAAACACTCAAACTAGAAATAGAAGGAAACATCTTCAATATGATAAAGGAATAGAAGGAAACATCTTCAGTATGATAAAGGAATAGAAGGAACTATCTTCAGTATGATAAAGGCACCTATGAGAAGCTCACAGCTGACAACACATTCAATACTGAAGGACTGAAAACTTCTCTAAGATCAGGAGCAAGGCAAGGATGCCCCCTCTCACCGCTTCTATTCAATCTTCTCTTAGAAGTCTTAGCCAGAGCAATTAGGCAAGAAATAGAAAGAAAAGGCATCCAAATGGTAAAGGCAAAAGTAAAATTATCTTTGTTCCCAAATGACATGATTTTTTTTTAGCAAGGGTTTTGCTCTGTTGTCCTGGCTGAAGTGCACACAGTGGCGTGATCTTGGCTCTGCAGCCCTGACCTCCCAGACTCAAGCGATCCTCCCTCTTCAGTCTCCTGAATAGCTGGGACTACAGATCTGTGCCACCACACCTGCCTAATTTTTATTCCCATTTATTCTGTAGAGACAAGGTCTCACTATGTTGCCCAGGCTGGTCTTAAACTCCTGGGTTCAAGCAATCCTCCCATCTAGGCCTCCCAAAGTGCTGGGATTACAGACGTGAGCCACCACACCCGGCCTGATATGATCTTACACACAGAAAATTCTAAATATTCCACATAAATTGCTAAAGATAATAAACAAATTCAGCAAAGTTCTAGGATACAAAATTGACACACAAAAAAGCAGTTGCATTTCCATACACTAGCACTGAATAATCCAAAAAGGAAGGTAAGAAAACAATTTTATATATGATAGCATCCAAAAGAATTAAGTCAAGGAGATAAAAGATTCGTATACTGCAAACTACAAAACACTGCTACAAGAATTTAAAGACCTAGGCCGGGCACGGTAGCTCATGCCTGTAATCCCAGCACTTTGGGATGCCGAGGCAGGTGGATCACAAGGTCAGGAGATCAAGACCATCCTGGCTAACACGGTGAAACCCCATCTCTACTAAAAATACAAAAAACTAGCCGGGCGTGTGGGGGCGCGCCTGTAGTCCCAGCTACTCGGGGGCTGAGGCAAGAGACTTGTTTGAACCCAGGAGGCGGGAGTTGCGATGAGTCGAGATTGCACCACTGCACTCCAGCCTGGGCAACAGAGTGAGATTCTGTCTCAAAAATATAAATAAATAAATAGGAAGACATCTGTGTTCATGGATTGAAGACTTAATATTGTTAAGAAGACAGTATTACCAAAGTGATCTACGAATTTCAATGCAATCCCTCCCAAAATCTCAAAAGCATTTTTGAAAAAATCGAAAAACCCATCCCCAAATTCATACAGAATCTCAAGGGACCGACTTTGAATAGCCAAAACAATCTTGAAAAAGAACAAAGTTGGAAAAACTCACACTTATGACTTACTACAAAGCTACAGTCACCAAAATAGTGGGGCACTGGCATAAGGACAGACATATAAAACAACAAAATAGAACAGAGAGTCCAGAAAGAAACCATTGCACACACGGCCAGCTGTTTTTTGTTTGTTTGTTTTTTTGAGACGGGAGTCCGCTCTGTCGCCAGGCTGGAGTGCAGTGGCCAGATCTCAGCTCACTGCAAGCTCCACTCCCGGGTTCATGCCATTCCCACCTCAGCCTCCCGAGTAGCTGGGACTACAGGCGCCCATCACCATGTCTGGCTACTTTTTTTGTATTTTTAGTAGAGATGAGGTTTCATGGTAAACTACCATGTTACAGGATGGTTTCGATCGCCGACCTCATGATCCACCTGCCTCAGCCTCCCAAAGTACTGGGTTCCAGGCGTGAGCCCACGCGCCCGGCCAGCCAGCTGGTTTTTTAACAATTAGGCCAAGACCATCCCTGGGAGAAAGGACGGTGTTTCTTTTTTTTTGAAACGGAATCTTACTCTGTCACCCAGGCTAGAGTGCAGTGGCGCAATCTCTGCTCACTGAAACCTCCGCCTCCCGGGTTCAAGCGATTCTCCTGCCTTAGCCTCCCAAGTAGTTTGGGATTACAGCGCCGCCACACACCTGGCTAATTTTTATATTTTGTTGTGAGACAGAGTTGTGCCATGTTGGCAGGCTGGTCACGATACTCCTGACCTCAGGTGATCTGCCTGCTTGGCTCCAAAGTGCTGAGATTACAGGCGTGAGCCACCGTGCCTGGCCTCAGGACCGTCTTCAACAAGTGCTGGGAAAACCGATAACCCATGTAAAAGAATGAAGCTGGACCCTTATCTTACACCAGATACAAAAGTTAAATTCAAAATGGATCAAAGACCTAAACATCAGAGAGAAAACATAAAACTTTTCGAAGGAAGCACAGAGAAAGTTCTTTATGATACTGATTTAGAAATGACTTTTTTGGATTATGACACCGAAAGCAAGGCAACAAAGAAAAAAAAAGAAAATTGCATTCATCAAAATTAAAAACTTGTGTGTCAAAGAAGTAAAGGCAGGGCTGGGTGGCTCACGCCATAATTCCAGCACTGTAAGTCAGGAGCTTCAAAAACAGCTGATCAACCAGTGAAAGCCCATCTCCACAAAAAAATATAAAAATTGCTGGATGTGGTGACGCAACCTGCAGTTCTAGCTTACGCAGAGGCTAAGGTGGGAGGGATCACTTGAATCCAAGAGTTTCAGGGTTACAGGGAGCTTACGGATCACTGTACCCTGGCAAGACCCTATGTCTAAAAAATTTTTTTATAGTAAAAAGATAACCCAAGAAAATATTTGCATATATCTGATAAAGGATTAAATATCCAGGATATGAAAACTTCTAAACTTAAAAAAAAAAAAAAAACTCACCCCCCCCCCTATTCAAAACGGTCAAAAGGAGAGGTTGAATAGACAATTCTCCCAACAAGCTATTCACATGGCCAACGACAGGAGAAGTGTTCAAATCACGTCATCACACAGAACACCTCCACACGCACATCAGATGCGAGCATCAGCCACACACGGAGACACTTTCACACGCACACAGGAGCACCGTTCCACACGCACATCAGATGACGAGCATCAGCCACACGGAGACACCGTTACACCACAGCACCCGGCCCGTTTCACATCACCAACCCGCATGCCCAGGAGACACGTTCACAAGCACCACATGGAGACATACGTTCCACACACACCACACAGAGACAACGCTTCCACAAGCACCACACGGAGAACTGTTCCACACACACCACACAGAGACACCGTTCCACAGCCACACACCACACGGAGACCCGTCCCACACACACACAACAGAGACCAGCCGTTCCACACACACATGAACACCATTTCCACAAGCACCACACGGGACACCCGTTCCACATGCACATCAGAATTGACGAGCATTCCAGCCAACACGGAGGACACCATTCCACACGCACGACAGGAGACACCGTTTCACATCCAACATCAGATGACGACACCAGCCACACGGAGACAGCCGTTTCACATCCACATCAGAGATGTGAGCCCAATCACCCACACAGACACGTTTCCACACAGCACCACAACGAGATGCCGTTCCCAAGCCCACATGGAGACACCGTTCCACACGGCACAGATGACGAGCCATAGCCACGGAGAACCAGTTCCACACACCCACACGGACATCGTTCCCAGCACCACATGGAGACACCGTTCACACGCACATCAGATGACGAGCATTAGCCACAGGAGACACCGCTCCACACGCACAACGGAGACATCGTTCCACATGCACCACACGGAGACACCGTTCCACAAGCACCACATGGAGACACCGTTCCACAAGCACCACACGGAGACACCGTTCCACACGCACATCAGATGACGAGCATCAGCCACACGGAGACACCGTCCACACGCACCACACGGAGACACCGTTCCCCACGCACATCAGATGACGAGCATCAGCCACACGGAGACACCGTTTCACATCCACATCAGATGACCATCATCAGAAGAAGGAAGACAAGTGTCGGCGGGATGAGGGTGAGGATGTGGAGAAAGGGGAGCCTTTGCTGACAGGAGGATAAAATGGTGCAGCCAGTGTGGAAAGGTCTGGCCTCAAAAATTAACCATGGAATTGTCACATGACCTGGCCTCGTAGGTATTTAGCCAAAAGAACTGAAAGGAAGGACTCAAACACGTATCTGCACACCCACATACACAGCAGCCTTATTCTCAACAGCCAAGGCTGGAAGCGACCCAGCTGTCCACTGGTGGATGCACGGACAGAACGTGGGCCCCCACACAGTAATTATTCAACCTTAAAAAGGAAGGAAATTTGGACGTACACTACAATACTGAATGAGCTTTGGGCACATAATGCTAAGTGAAATCAGTCAGTCACAAAAAGATAATACTTTACGATTCCACTCATAAACTGTACCTAGAATAGTCAAAGTCAGAGACAAAGAGAAAGGTGGTTTGACAGAGGCTGTGGAGGGGGAGAATGAATGGGGAGTTAGTGTTTAACAGAGAGAGAGTTTCTGTTTGGAAAAATGAAAAACTCCTAGATATGGATAATGGCAATGGCTGTACGAGATGGTGAATGCACTGAGTTACACACCTTAAAATAGTTAAAACAGCCAAGTTCATGTTATGATATTTTACCACAGTAAATATAAAAGACAGGAAAAAAGTGGAAGAGAGAATTCTTTTAAAGAGGGAGAAGGGGCCGGGCACAGTGGCTCACGCCTGTAATCCCAGCACTTTGGGAGGCCAAGGCGGGTGGATCATGAGGTCAGGAGTTTGAGACCATCCTGGCCAACATGGTGAAACCCCGTCTCTACCAAAAATGCAAAAAAAATTAGCTGGGCGTGGTGGCGCGTGCCTGTAATCCCAGCTAGTCGGGAGGCTGAGGCAGGAAAATCGCTTGAACCCAGGAAGCAGAGATTGCAGTGAGCCGAGGTCACGCCACTGCACTCCAGCCTGGTGGTAGAGCAAGACTGTGTCAAAAAAAAAAAAAAAAAGAAGAGGGAAAAGGAAAGTAGGTCTTTTGTAATTGCTTCCCTGAAGCAGCCTGGGATCTCACAGCCAAAGCAGTGCCCCAGAACTTCTACATGCTGACAGAACTTCTGAGCCAGACAGCACTTCCAGCCCAGTTCTGAGGCCGGCTCCTCCTGGGACTAAGATTGCAGGGAGATTCCAGCAGAGCCCGAGCCAGGCAGAAGAGGGGAGGCTGTGTCTGCCAACAGGACCCACTAGGGCAGTGCCCCTCGCCCTCAGGGGAGCAGCCCTGTGCTCTCTGCAGAGGAGCCTGCTGCCCACAGCCAGGGCTGCTCACTGGCACTGCCCGCCAGCACCGCCTGCCCTTTCCTCTCCCCAGACACCTGGAGCATCATGCAGGCCGTATGCAGGATGGAGAAGCACTGCCCGCTGGCTTTGACAAAAACTGCCAGGTTGACCTTCTATTGTGGAAGACAGAAGCTTCTCTTTTAGCACATTTTATACTTAATAACCACCGTGTAAGTTCTACGTTGTTCAGTCAGAACATGAGAAAGGAGGTAGACATGTCAAACACGGCTAGAAATCCGCCTTCTGCTTTCAGGGCAATTCTACAGTAGACTTGTCACTTCCTGTGAGCCTGCAGCTGAGACACGCCTCACTGTTGCTCTGTGCCCCACCAGAGACCTGTGGTCCAGCCTTCGGACTTGGGACTGGAACCTCCCCTTGGCAGAGCTTTGTCGAAATGCTGGGGCCCCACTCTGCGGCTCCCGACGAGTCCACAGGCCGGGCCCGGCACGCTCACAGACACACAGCGGGGCTGAGGGGCCCACTTACCAGCAGTAAGTCCATGGTGTTGAGCCGGCAGAGCTCCTGGTTGATGCTGGGTGTGTTTGTGTGCAGCAGTGCTGCCATGAGGCGGGCGCCATGCAGACGGGCATTCCCCAGGGGCTCCTCCAGCACACCAATGGTGGTCAGGATCGCTTTCTTCTGCAAACACAGAAGGCACCACCCAGTTAGGCCCTGTGAGCAATGAGGCCACTGCTGGAGTCTCTGGGCTCATGCCCACCACTCCACGCCGGGACCCCGCCTAGGGCGGTGAGGTGCATGGTGGGGGTCCACGCCGGCACCCCGCCTAGGGCAGTGAGGTGCATGGTGGGGGTCCACGCCGGGACCCCGCTTAGGGCGGTGAGGTGCATGGTGGGGGTCCACGCCGGCACCCCGCCTAGGGCGGTGAGGTGCATGGTGGGGGTCCACGCCGGCACCCCGCCTAGGGCAGTGAGGTGCATGGTGGGGGTCCACGCCGGGACCCCGCTTAGGGCGGTGAGGTGCATGGTGGAGGTCCACGCTGGGACCCAGCTTAGGGTGGTGAGGTACATGGTGGGGGTTCCTCAGGGAGGGCTGTCTGCCAGAAGAAATGAAGGGATCAGTGGGGTGAAGAGGCTGCTGCTCCCCTCAGGGCCTCAGGAGAGTGCTCCCAGGATGGCTCACGGGCACTCCAGTCTGAGCCTGTGGGGCCAGAGAGCCGTGCACCTCAGCGGGTGAGATGTCCAAGATGGGGCCAGCGGCACCAGTCTGAGGCCAGAGCCCTTGGCATGATGCCTCGCTGAGGATGCCCAGTGGGGCTGCCTCTGCGGACACAACCTCAGAACACCAAGTTAACAAGTGTCCCACAAACACACTTTGGGGAGACGGACAGAAATGCCTCCTCAGATGGGCCACAGGTCTTTTCTGATCCCCTACACTCAGCATAATGCATCTGCCTTCTCTTCACTGAAGGCTCCAGGCTGACAAAACAGAATCCCAGCCCCCACAGGGCTCGCTAGGCGGGCAGGTGGATCTTACCAAGGTGGCGAGTGAGAGGAACTGAGCTGTAGGTCAGGAGGGCGCTACGCAGCGCGGGGTGGGGGGCGTTGTGTCTGGGGAGGGTGAGACGGGATGGGCAGTCGCCTGGCTGGCAGTCTGAGCCGGGAGGAGCCTTTGTGTGCTTCACCCTCCTCAACATGACCCACGCACTGCCCAGTGCTGCTGAGCGGGGCAAGGGGCCTCCCCTGCCACCCCCTGGTCCCCTCCCTCAGGAGCCCAGCATCCCTTAGCTAGGTGCCCCCAACTTGGAGGCCAGGCCTGTGGTGACCTCCGGGTCAGCTGCAGAGGCAGAGAAGAGCATTTGCAGATCTGGGAGAGCAGTCCTGAAAATGTGTTTTGGCACCTACCCGGTGCTTCTCAAGTGGGGGTGTGGGAACGGCTGTCTTAGAACACATTCACTCCACATTCTGCTTCCTATGGGACAGGCTGTGGGTTCTCCTCCCTGCAAATCAACCTCCCCTGCGACGCCTCCAAAGGCACTCAGCAGTCGCCACGGCCATTTACCTTGGGGGGGTTGAGCAGGAGCTGGTGGAAGTCCTTCAGCCGAGGCTCGATGCCGTGTAGTACACTGCTGCTGACAGTGTATGACCTTTCCAGTCCCTGAGAAAAGGAGTCCACCAAGCCCTCTGTCCTGTGGATGAGGAAAGCAGATGGAGACCGGGGACACCAGGGCCCTGTCCAACCTCACCAGCAACTCAGTGCATCCTCTTCTTCCAGAAAGAGCCCTCTTTAACTTCCCAAAAATAAATCCTAGAGGAGTGCAGCTACCCAAGGTCTCCACACGTGATCTGGTGACTGGTACAGGTAGAAGAGAAAGGCACTAAAGACCTTCAGGAAGATGACTGCTTGTGACATCCGAGAACATGCAGGCAGGGCAAGTGACACAGGACTCACTGCCCCCAGCACCGGTGGGGTGCTGCTCTGTCCTCCTACTTTGAAAACCTTCACTGCTATCCCTGTATCTTTCACACTGTTCCTGTGTGGACCTTCTTTTTTTTCTTTTAGCCGGAGTCTTACTTGGTCGCCCAGGCTGGAGTGAAATGATGCGATCTCAGTTCGCTGCAACCTCCACCTCTTGGGTTCAAGTGATTCTCCTGCCTCAGCCTCCTGAGTAGCTGGGACTATAGGCATGGACCACCACAGGCATGGACCACCACACCCGGCTAATTTTCGTATTTTTAGTAGAGACAGGATTTCGCCATGTTGGCCAGGCTGGTCTCCATCACCTGACCTCAGGTGATCGCCCGCCTTGCCTCCCAAAGTGCTGGGATTACAAGTGTGAGCCACCATGCCCAGCCCCTGTGGTGTTTTCAAGCAAGTCTGAGATATTTATTTAAACACTCTTTCCAGTTGTAAAAATAATACATAATCATATATTTTTTAAAGTAATAAGCAAAATAATTTCAAAACTCAGAGAGCGAGGTGCAGTGGCTCACACCTATAATCCCAGCACTTTGCAAGGGACAGGTGGGAGGAGGATGGCTTGAGCTCAGGACTCTGAGGCCGCACTGAGATACGATCGTGGCACCGCACTCCCACCTGGGTGACAGAGCAAGACACCATCTGAAAATCATCAGCAGCAGCAGCACAAGAATCAAAGAAAAACAGCTGGCTTATCTCTGTTTTCCTGGTTTTTACACAGTCCCCTCCATCACATAGAGGGTTGAGCCTGGGCCTCAGAAGTGGCTCAGCTTTCCTGGATTTATGAAGATTAAAATATCAATATTCCACTTGCCTAACTAGAGAAAAACGATAACATTTTAACACTATTTTTGGTTAATAAACTAACAAGTATTAGGTAGTACGAGAGAGACAGAGACAGAGACAGTCCTAACAACCTCACTACCAAGGTTAAGTCAATTTCTTGTCATTTTCTTATTGTTCCTTTTTCTTTCACTTTAAAAAAGCACAGGCTATCAGTGTTGGGGGCTGAATTACGTTCTCCCCAGAATGCGGAAATAAGGGAGCTACAGTCACCTTGGGAGAGTTAGACATCGTTGCATGTGATGGAATGGAGACGACGGAAATGTCCTGAAGATATCAGGTTCCCGCTGGCATGTGGGGAACCTGAATCCACAGATGGGGTTCAAGGGCCAGGGGCAGGCCAGGAGGGGAAGTGCCCAGAGAACACTGATACGGCCCTTTCGAGACACACACTATAGGATCTCCTGGGCATCTGGCAGGCCAACCACATCCCCCTGTCCCAATGCCTCCCTCACAGACTCTCCACTCGACTCTCTTTCCATTTGCGCCTGATGGGCGTCCTCCTCGGAGTTTCAACTGCTTGAAAGGCTTTGGCAGTGCCCAGCCTTCTGTGACCTGAGGGCCTTCTAGGCCACACTGTGATCCAGAGAAACAGTTTCAAACACTTCCTGAAATTTCTACCTGGGGTCAGAGAAGGGTCTCCAGCACCTATATCCTCAAACAAATTCAACTTTCACCTGAACTCACTTCTGCTGCTGACTCCTCTGTCTCTGCCTATTCACTGTCGTGCCTCAACAGGCCTCCAACAGCTGCAACTGAGGATAGCGGTGTGGGGTCACAGCAAAGGAGCTCCTCCAAGCAAGCTCCACTCTCCTCTGCCACATATTGCCCCATGCTTGTGTCCACACTGGGACCCCCTCACTGCCTCATCCCAGGTGGTCTCTGCCAGATGCGGCCTCTCAGGGAAAACGTCCCTGACTGCGAGGCTCCACCCACCAGCCCCACGTGGGTCCCTTCTTGTGAGCCCTGAGGCACAGGGTGCATGTCTACGGCACTCGCCACTCTGCATCACCCTGGCTGTCCGCACACTGGCCTCCTGTGCCAGATGGGAGCAATTAAAGGGAAGGGGCTGTGTCTCAGTTCTCTGACTCCTTGGGCCTGTGTTAGTGCACAGTGGGTACAGAAATGACACCTGATGAACGAGAAAGTGCAATGGAGGACAGTCGCCTGGGAACCAAGGGCTAATGCCACAGCCCCACCCTGTGAGGGCCAGTGTCTGCCTGGGAGATAAACACATGTATATATAACTGTGCGTCGCAGTGGAAACCCTGCCCCACACACACACACACACAGGAGCTGTGGGGACTTGTCACAACAGTCCTTGGGGAAAACCTGCCAACCACACCTGTTCCACACATGTCAACATATGCATCGCCAACTGGCCACGACGAGCAGCTTCAGGCTAGAGAGGAAGCACCAGTGATGATGAGCGTCCAAGGGGACTTGGCCGCAGCCATAAAGTCAAGCCTTCAACAAGGGAAATCTATCTGTGTTATTACTTGCATAATCAAAAATTAAAAACACAAATGACATAATCCAGACTGCTCATGTGGGCTGCCAGTCACCGAAGCACCAAGTTCAGCTCCATACGGTTTCTCCTCATGAGACTCACCCAACCCGCCTGGTTTCCAGCAAGGTGAGTAACACCTGAGTCCCGCTGACGAGGCAACTCTCCGTCCGGTCTCCATCAAACATGTTCTTCAGAAGCTGCTCCACACAGTCCTGCCTGCTGGACAACACACAGAGGTCACTGCCTGGCAGATCAGACACACACACAAGAGACACACACAGAGGTCACTGCCTGGCAGAGCAGACACACACACAAAGGATGCAAGGATGCTCCTTGCTCCCCGTGGAGGACCCCAGCAAAACCCTAAACCTGCTCAGGCTCAAGGCCAGGCGCCAGGGTTCTCAGGACACTCCTGCTGCTGCTGGCCCACTCTCTGGACCCGCCAGGTGACTCCTCTGAAGACCCCTCCCTCTGGAAATAGGCCCCCTGTTAACACAGGCTCTGAACCTGGGGTTCATTCGAATGTGAATCAGAGGAGGTGGCAGCATGTCCTGGTGCTCAGAGCGAGGCTCAGCGATGTCCCCATGACCCAGAAAGGGAGGCCCACCAGCACCACGGCCCACCAGCACTCACGACTCCAGCGCTGTGAGGAGGGGGTCTGGCTCCAGAGCCTCTTGCAGCTGACTGCCCTGGTCTCTGCCCAGCCTAACTATGTCACAGAGAGTCTGAGAAGCATTTGACTGCCTCTGAAAAGACAAGGGAAACACAGAGCCCCTCAGTATGGAGAAGAAACAGCAGGACCAGCCCTGGTAGGCACACAGGGCACGAGTCCTGCTGCTTCTCTGGCAGATGCTAGACTTCTGTTGTTATTCAATACCATTGTGATGTTAAATTCTTTTTCTTTCTTTCTTTTTTTTTTTTTTTTTTTTTAAAAGATGTGGGACTTTTGTCCGGGCGTAATGGCTCTGGCCTGTAATCCCAGCACTTTGGGAGGCCGAGGCGGGCGGATCATCAGGTCAGGAGATCAAGACCATCCTGGCTAACACAGTGAAACGCCATCTCTACTAAAAATACAAAAAATTAGCCGGGCGTGGTGGCAGGCGCCTGTAGTCCCAGCTACTCGGGAGGCTGAGGCAGGAGAATGGCGTGAGATCGCGCCACTGCACTCCAGCCTGGGCAACAGAGCGAGACTCCATCTCCAAAAAAAAAAAGGATGTGGGACCTTCTCTAAACCAGTTTTCTATAAAGATTCCAGACAACAGCTTCATTTCAAAGAAGCCTGAGTATGCCTTTTCTGTCGTCAAAATGTAGATCTGGTTAGATTTTTCTTAAGCTGCATTGAACTATCTTTAGGAATTCAAAACAGGGCTAATAATGGTCAGATATGCAATGCAGATACTGGGCTATACCTGTGATCCACGTTTTGAAATATACTGAATATGTGGCCATGTTATTGATACTGTATTTTAAATGTGGTAATAAGTAGCTGCTGTTATTCAGAATGTGTCCTGTAAGCTGATGAAAATAGGGAAGTTGCTACCAAGAAAACAGAGGACTCAACTTTTCTAGGGAAACATTAACACACAATCCCTGACGGGAACCTGCCCCTGCTGACAATGCCGGGGTTGTTCTCTAGGGAAGACAAATGTGATTCAGAGAGAAACAACCTGACTCCTTGCAGCATTGGCTCACACACTGTGGGAAGACGGAGGGGCAAACACTCACAGGAGTGTCTTAGGGAGAAAAGAAAGCAGCCAGATTAGCCCTGAGCTCTGCCTTTGGCAGCCAGATTAGCCCTGAGCTCTGCCTTTGGCAGCCAGATTAGCTCTGAGCTCTGCCTTTGGGACCCAGGACAGGCCATCAGTCCACAACACCCACATGCATGGGTGGACTCTGGTTCTCAGGCAGGGTGGCCTCCTCGCTTCCTACAGACGCCAGCGTGGCCTCTCCCATCTGTCTGATCAGCCCTGTGGGCTAACGGAGAACGAAGCAGGGGGATTGGCCAGGCAGCGGTGAAGGCCTCAGACACGAGTCAGCACCACCGTTTTCCAATTTGCCAAGGATGCGTGGTTGTATGTATAGATAGATACGTGTAATGCTAGGAAAAGGTCTGCTGGGATGTACCCCAAACTCTGAACAGGCATCACCACAGGGAGCCCCACTGTCACCTTAGGTGCTTCCAGGGTGGGTGGCTTCTAGGGGGCCCCTAACAATCCCCTCCTGGAGTTCATGCCCCTATAGCCCCCATCTCTTTTAGTGTGGGCTGGACCCAGACACCCAGCTCTAAAGAGCCAAATACAGTAAGAGTGAGGGGAAAGCTCAGCTCCACGTCGTGTGCTGCCCTGTGGAGAGGCCCACGTGGTACAATGATGAGGGTGGCCTCGGCCCACAGCCCTGAGGAACTGTATGCTGCCAAGCCATCTGTGACCATGGAGCTGGCCTCTACCCCAGGGGAGCTCTGAGATGACTGCACTTTGTGAGAGAATGAGCAGAAGAGCCACTAAGCCACATTCAGATGCCTGATCCACAGAAACTGATACTGCTACAGGTAAAAATACTTGCCATAAGCAACTACATTTCAGGGTAATTTGCTATTCAGTCGCAGACGACCAATACAATTCTATTAGAATTGTTCTTTTGTTTGTTTGTTTGTTGAGACAGAATCTCGCTGTCGCCCAGGCTGGAGTGCAGCAGTGCGATCTCAACTCACTGCAAGCTCCCCTTCCCGGGTTTGAGTGATTCTCGTGCCTCAGCCTCCTGAGTGGCTGGGATTATAGGCACCCTCCACCACGCCTGGCTAATTTTTAGTAGAGACAGGGTTTCGCCATGTTGGCCAGGCTGATCTCAAAACTCATGACCTCAAGTGATCAGCCTGCCTCAGCCTCCCAAAGTGCTGGAATTACAGGCATGAGCCACCGCGCCCGTCCTAGAATTGTTTTTATCATACACATATATTATTTTTCAGTTAAGGAAAAAAAGCCTAGGCCAGGCATGGTGGCTCACTCCTGTAACCACGGCACTTTAGGAGGCTGAGGTAGGAGGATCACTTGAGGCCAGGTGTTTGAGAACAGCCTGAGCAATGTAGTGAGACCTCATCTCTATTTAAACAACAAGAAAACAGCCTAGAGGCCAGGTGTGGTGGCTTACCTGCCTGGGTGAGCAGGAGAATCGCTTGAACCCGAGAGGCGGAGGCTGCAGTGAGCCAAGATTGCCTCATTGCACTCTAGCCTGGGCAACAAGAGCGAAACTCCACCTCAAAAAAAACAAAACAAAACAAAAAAACCCAAAAAAAAAAACAGCCTAGAAGTCAGTGCTTGATTAAAGAGAGAAAAGTACCCAACAGATCCTCATCTTAGGAAAGGGATGACTTGCCCCTCCCTCGCTCCCTTGGCCTGCAGCAGTAGATGGCCCAGCAGCCACAGGCCTGGGCTAGCATGCACGAAGCTTGGTAAGCAGCACACTCACATCTTCATCCTGGCTCGGGTGGATCAACTCCACAAGCCTCTGGATGACTTTCTCTTCATTCAGCCACTGAAAGAGAAAAAGAGGCCTTTCAGTGTCGCTGCTCACGTCTAAGTAAACAGCAGGAACCTTTCCCCTTCAGCGCAGCACTGCACCCGTTTTCTAGAATAGACTCTGCCTGACACGTCCCAGACCCAGAAAGAACACAAATAACACACAATGACTGAGTTTTGGGAGGTCCTGGAAGTAGTTGAAAAGATAATAAGGGGTGACCACCATCCCTCTGTCCTAACGGTGCACATGTAAGCTCTGTCTTCAGGATTTCTCTCTAAGGACCAGGGTGCAAATGAGCCACACGGGCCACAGCTCAGGAACCTGCTGGATGCTGAAGCCAGAGAAACCTCAGCTGTTCCCTGCAGCACTGGGGCATTCCCAGGATGAGGAAGAGTAAATCCACCCTGGCGAGGCCACAGGAACACTGTGGGGTCAAGCTCATGGGCAACGGGGGCCCAGTGTGAGTGTTGGGGTCCGGCAGGTCTGGGCCACATCTGGCTCCCACACCGCACTGCTGTGCCCTGTGCCTAAATTCCTTATCCCAGAATGGGATGACCTGTCCCTACGTGGCTACTTTGTGAAGTGAATCAAGTAAAGCAGCTAAAAGGCTGCCTGATGTACAGTTCTGCAGGCTTCCCACTAACGGCTATGACCACAGCTAGTACTGATCCTGTGTCCACTGTGCAAAGGTGGGTGACGGTCAGTCATTCCCTGCGTCCACTGTGCAAAGGTGGGTGACGGTCAGTCATTCCCTGCGGTCCGGGACTGTGTGGTAAAGGTGGGTAATGGTCGGTCATTCCCTGCGTCCACTGTGTAAAGGTGGGTGATGGTCGGTCATGCCCAGTGAAAAGCTGCTCCCTGAGGAAGCATTACTAACCTCAGAGTGAGAGTGACCACCTGGATAAGTCCAGATTCTAGGAGCTGGGAAACAGGCAGAGGGCCTCACAGTTTACTCTATTTTATTTATTTTTTTTTTTTTTTGAGAAGGAGTCTTGCTCTGTCATCCAGGCTGGAGTGCAGTGGTGGCGATTTCGGCTCACTGCAAGCTCCGCCTCCCAGGTTCACACCATTCTCCTGCCTCAGCCTCCCGAGTAGCTGGGACTACAGGGGCCGCCACCACACCTGGCTATTTTTTGTATTTTTAGTAGAGACGGGGTTTCACCATATTAGCCAGGATGGTCTCCATCTCCTGACCTCATGACCCGCCCACCTCCGCCTCCCAAAGTGCTGGGATGATGGGTGAGAGCCACCGCGCCCGGCCTCTACTCTATTTTAAATCTCACCATAAACACAGCTGGCCAAACAGTGAGTGGAAGTTTGTGCGGCATGGATTTCCCGGACTTCCCTGGGGGGCATCCTCCTCTTTTCGGGAACTATAGCACCTGCTCTCACTGACTAAACACCATCAGAACAGACGCATGCACACTCCAGGGTAAACAATGGGGCTCTGCAGGTAACTGCTGTCCACCAGGGCTCTCCTGGCAGGCACAGGCCTGGACGCAGGGCCAGCACCTCACTGACCTCCTGCTCTAAGCCACAGGGGTGGGCGCTGGCAGGGGAAAAGGAGGCAGGCAAGATAAGTCCATTTCAGCCTCTTCACAGAGCAGGAGGCTGGAGACTGCAGAGAGAAGGGACCTCTCTGCTCCGCGCTTCTGAGCAAGTTGAGTCAGAACAGTGGGAAAGGTGCAGGCCACAATCCTTGACAAGAACCCCTAACAGCCCCATGGAGAAGTGCACGCTGGGTGAAGAGATGAGGGCCGGGCGCCCTGGTGCTGTGAACTCCTGCACTTAACCAGCCGGCTTCCTGCAGCACCACTGCCCTCGGGAACTGGGGGGACTCCCAGACTCACATGCAGGACTTCCTGCCGGAGCCCGGCTGGCTCCACACAGCTGACCAGGCGCAGCAGCAGGTCCATAAGCGCTGAGGTGCCGATGTGCTTCAACACCAGGCTGATGAACTTGTCCTTCTTCTTCAAAAACGTAATCACCTGAAATCACACACACCTGAGAGGCAGGCAGGGCTGACCGTGACAACCATGAGACTCCTCCTTCAAAAACTATCATGGGAAAGCTGAACTGTTAATTATATCAAGCAGAAATAACGGAAAGACCCAGACAAGATTGTAAGAAAGCTCTCTCAAGGGACAGGCAGAGAATTCTACCAGGCAGTGGTGTATGTGAGGGCCTGGTAGGGGGAGGCCGCTGCACAGGGACAGCTGTGGCTCTGCACTGACAGGACACAGCTGTCCCAGGTGGGGCACCACAGGCTGCGTGAGAAGCTGCCATTCAATACCTACTGGTTCGGGTTTTTCCACTAGAAACGAATGGTGTAGACAGAGCTGAGCTGAGCTGATGGCCATCGCTGGCAGCCCCAGGCCTAGAACACACACCCAGGGAGCACAGAGTGCACAAGATGCCAGCTGCTGACCAAAACCAGTGAGCAGCTGAAGGGGAAAGAAGACTGAGGTTTTAGAAAAGAAAAAGAGGCCTTCTGTGGCTGGCTGATGACCAGTACCAATGAAGTGTAGACAGCTAAGCGTGAGGCCACGGGGAGGCACAGCACCCATCACAGACTCAGTGAGCTGCTCAGATGGTGGATCTGAGGTAACAGTGGAGAGCTGAAGGCTGGGCTTGCTGCAAATTCAGCTCAACTCAGCCTACAGAGATAAGTGTCTGCTATGTCCAGGCTACTGGGCTGGGGGCTGGGGTAGACCCAGCTCTCCACTGGAAACATGGGAACACAGAGAAGGCCCACCTGGCTGCAGGGCCTCAGCCTCGCTCCCCAGTGCTGCGATGAGGAGGGAGCGTAGGAAAAGGATCGGTGGGAAAAGAGGAGGGGAAGGAGGAAGAGGAGGGGAAGGAGGAAGAGGAGGGGAAGGAGGAAGAGGAGGGAAGGAGGAAGAGGAGGGAAGGAGGAAGAGGAGGGGAAGGAGGAAGAGGAGGGAAGGAGGAAGAGGAGGGGAAGGAGGAAGAGGAGGGAAGGAGGAAGAGGAGGGAAGGAGGAAGAGGAGGGGAAGGAGGGGCAGGGGAGGAGGGGGCAGGAGAGGAGGAGGGTTAAACTTCTAGAAAGACTAAGGACAGAACAGAAGACGCAAATAACAGTATCAAGAATGAAACAAGGGACACCACTAAAGATCCTACAGAAATAAAAACTATGATGAGAGGTTTGTAGTTTTTTTTTCTTTTTTTTTTGAGACAGGGTCTCACTCTGTCGCCCAGGCTGGAGTGCAGTGGTGCGATCATAGCTCACTGCAGCCTCCATCTTCTGAGCTCAAGTGATCCTCCCACCTCAGCCTCCCAAAATGCTGTGATAACACGCAGGAGCCACCACACCTGATGTACTATGAGAAATTAACAGAAACAATTTTATGCCAGTTTTTGTAAATTTAGAAAAGAAACTTCCTTAAAAAAAGTACTTATCTAAACTGACAAGAAACAAAATCCATTCCAGAACATAATAAAACCCCACAAAATCTATAATTAACAGGCTCTCTATACAGAGAAGGTTTAACGGCCTTACCAATAAATTCTTCCACACATTTAAGAAAAAATAACCCTAGGCTGGGCGTGGTGGCTCACGCCTGTAATCATGGCACTTGTGGGAGGTCAAGGCAGGCGGATCACTTGATCTCAGGAATTCAAGACCAGCCTGGCCAACGTGGTCTCTACTAACAATGTAAAAATCAGCCAGATGTGGTGGTGGGTGCCTGTTAATCCCAGCTACTCGGGAGGCTGAGGCATGAGAATTGCTTGAACCTAGGAAGCAGAGGTTGCAATGGGCCAAGATCGCACCACTGCACTCCAGCCTGGGGGACAGAGTGAGATTCTATCTCCAAAAAAAGAAAAAAGAACCTCTATTTTTTTTGAGCCCATAATGATCAATGGATCATATTCACATATTTACATCAATATTCTAGTTGTGATATTCTACTAGTGTTTTAGAAAATGTCACCACTGGAGGAAACATGTCAGAGCATACAAGGATTTTTTTTTTTTGGGACGGAGTCTCGCTCTGTCACCCAGGCTGGAGTGCAGTGGTGCGATCTCAGCTCACTGCAAGCTCCGCCTCCCAGGTTCACGCCATTCTCCTGCCTCAGCCTCCCAAGGAGCTGGGACTACAGGCGCCCGCCATTGCGCCCGGCTAATTTTTTTATTTTTACTAGAGACGGGGTTTCACCATGTTAGCCAGGATGGTCTCGATCTCCTGCCCTCGTGATCCACCTGCCTCGGCCTCCCAAAGTGCTGGGATTACAGGCGTGAGCCACCGTGCCCGGCCTTTCTTTTTTCTTTTTTTTTTTGAGACGGAGTCTCGCTCTGTCACCTAGGCTGGAGTGCAGTGGCGCGATCTCGGCTCACTGCAACCTCTGCCTTCAGGTTCAAGTGATTCTCCTGTCTCAGCCCTGCCAAGTAGCTGGGATTACAGGCATGTGCCATCACACCCAGCTAATTTTTATATTTTTAGTAGAGACAGGCTTTTGGCATGTTGGCCAGCTGCTCTCAAACTCATGGGCTCAAGTGATCCACTCACCTTGGCCTCCCAAAGTGTTGGGAGGAGTGAGCCACTGCTCTTGGCCAAGGATTTTCTTCATATTATTTCATACAACCTCATGCAAATACAATAATCTCAATCAAAATTTCAATTAAAAAGATACCATTTAAAGGCCGGGGGTAGGGGCTCATGCCTGTAATCCCAGCACTTCGGGAGGCCCACGTAGATGGATCACCTGAGGTCAGGAGTTCAAGACCGCTTGGCCAACATGGTGAAACCCCGTCTCTACTAAAAATACAAAAATTAGCCAGGCGTGGTGGTGGGCACCTGTAATCCCAGCTACTTGGGAGGCTGAGGCAGAAGAATCACTTGAACCCGGGGGCGGAGGCTGCAGTGAGCTGAGATTGTGCCCCTACACTCCAGCCTGGGAGACAAAAGGGAGACTTTGCCTCAAACAAAAACAAAATCCTTGTATGCTTTGACATGTTTCTTCCAATGGTGACATTTTCTAAAACATCAGCATAATATCACAACTAGAATATTGATGTATATGAGTATGATACATTGCTCATTATAAGCTTGAGAAAAATAGAGGTTCTTTTTTCTTTTGTTGGAGATAGAATCTCACTCTATCCCCCAGGCGGGAGGGAGGCTGAGGCACGAGAATCACAAGAATCGCTTGAACCCAGGAGGCGGAGGTTGTAGTGAGCCAAGATTGCACCATTGCACTCCAGCCTGGATGACGGCGCAAGACTCTCTCAAAAAAAAAAAAAAAAAAAAAAAAAAACAAAAAAAAAAAAAAAAAAAACACTTAGAATAATACAAAGATATCAAATACCTAAGAATAAATCCAGTGAAAGATGCTCAAGACTGCCAGACAGAGAACTGCAGTGTATTTCTGAGAAATCAAAGCAGCCTGAGCTACCGGCTGTGCTGCTATGGTGTGAAATAGAAGTGGCTGTGCTACAGTAAGGCCTCACTCACACCCTCCGTGGCTGCCTCGCTCGCACCCTCCGTGGCTGCCTCACTCACACCCTCCGTGGCTGCCTCGCTCGCACCCTCCATGGCTGCCTCGCTCACACCATCAGTGGCTGCCTCGCTCACACCATCAGTGGCTGCTTTTGGCCTGTTCACACTTTGCCAGACCCAACTACAGCCAACGCAAACCTCATCAAAATTTCAGTAGGTTTATTTTTGGGGGGGCAGGGTATGGAGAGGGAGAATGTAGAAACTGCAAACTCATTCTAAAATGTGCTGATTCTAAAACAATCAAGAAAAAGAAAAAAATAAAAAATAGAAAAGAAAAAAATAAAAACAAAAAACAAAACAGGCCATGTGCGGTGGCTCACGCCTATAATCCAGCACTTTGGGAGGCCGAAGCAGACGGATCACCTGAGGTCAGGAGTTCTGGACCAGTCTGGTAAACATGATGAAACTCTGTCTCTACTAAAAATACAAAAATTACCCCAGCGTGGTGGCGGGCGCCTGTAATCCCAGCTACTCAGGAGACAGAGGCAGGAGAATTGCTTGAACCCCGGAGGCAGAGGTTGCAGTGAGCTGAGGTCATGCCATTGCACTCCAGCCTGGGCAACAGAGCAAAACTCCGTCTCAAAAATCATCATCATCATCATTGGCCAGGTGCGGTGGCTCACATCTGTAATCCCAGCATTTTGGGAGGCCAAGGTGGGCAGATCACGAGGTCAAGAGATTGAGACCATCCTGGCCAACGTGGTGAAACCCCATCTCTACTAAAAATACAAAAATTAGTTGGGCGTGGGGGCGCACGCCTGTAGACCCAGCTACTGGGGAGGCTGAGGCAGAAGAATCGCTTGAGCCCGGGAGGTGGAGGTTGTGGTGAGCTGAGATTGCACCACTGCACTCCAGCCTGGCGACAGAGCAAGACTCTGCCTCAAAAAAAAAAAAAAAAAAAAATTAATAATAATAATCAAAAGGCAAAGAATCATAAAAACAATCTTGAAGAAAAACAAAGAGATACAGAAGAAATGTGATTAGCCATGAACAAATGACGTGGAATCTGACTGACAGAGACATGGGGGTTCATGAAATATTTTCTCTAATTTGTAGACATTTGAAAGAATTCGTAACGAAGGGCGGGGAAAATGCGGAGGGTCGTCTCCCGGAAGCCCCGCCTCTGGGCTACTCCCACAGTTTCAGGAAACACAGGAGGAAGGCTCGTGGCATCCCTGCCTCACGGCTGGCCCTGAGAACAAACCAGCTGCTAGGTGATGGAAAGTTTCGCTCTTGTTGCCCAGGCGGAGTGCAGGGGCGCGATCTTGGCTCACCACAACCTCTGCCTCCCGGGTTCAAGCGATTCTCCTGCCTCAGCCTCCTGAGTAGCTGGGATTACAGGCATGCACCACCACGCCCGGCTAATTTTGTATTTTTAGTAGAGACGGGGTTTCTCCACGTTGGTCAGGCTGGTCTCAAACTCCTAACCTCAGGTGATCCGCTTGCCTTGGCCTCCCAAAGTGCTGGGATTACATGCGTCAGCCACTGCGCCCGGCCAATAGAATAAAATTGTAACAGTTCATATTACTTTAACGCCTTAAGTACTGGGCAAGGGAATGGGAGAAAAATATTATATGAGGTAGTAAAATTATTAAGAAAATATCTGAAAGTGGCAGAGGAATAAGATCAGCTTATGGCAAATTACGAGATACATGCATCTAGTCACTGGGCTGCAAGGACCAGGTCAAGGTTTTTACAACTTCTACTACCACCCCACAGCCTCGACAACCCCCGGCCCACACCACAGCTCCCCGCCGACTCCACTCCCACTCCCACTCCCATTCTGCCAGCAGCCTCCCACCCAGCACCACCCACTGCTGCTGGTGCCCTTCACTTACACACAGCTTCAGAAGGAGCTGAGGTGAGGCAGTCCCCTGGGGGCCCTTGCAACTCTCAGATTTATGGCACAAGGGAAAACGGCATTCCACTATACACTCACATGCACACTGAATGTCGTCAAGGTGAACCGCGGCCTTCCTGGGGCTGCACTTTCTCAGAGCTCAAAGCAGATGTGAGGTAACGGTTTGTGCCCTGACTGAATGTTTGATGGTATGAAACAATTATGGTTACTATTTTTGGAGTGTGATCATAAAATTCTGATTATATTTAAAAGAAAAAAGTCTTTATTTTAGAGATACATAGCTGGGCATCGTGGCTCACACTTGTAGTCCCAGAACTTTGGGAGGCCTGGGCAGGCAGATCACTTGAGCCCAGGAGTTCGAGATCAGCCTGGGTAACATGCAGAAACCCCATCTCTACAAAAAACATTTTAAAAAATTAGCCAGGTGTGGTGGTACGTGCCTGTAGTCCCAGCTACTCAGGAGGCCGAGGTGGGAGGATCCCCTGAGCTTGAGGAGGTTGAGACTGAAGTGGGCTGTGATGCAGCCAGTGGACTCCAGCCTGGGCAGAGTGAGACCCTGTCTCAAAAATAAATAAATATACACACATACTGAAATCTTTATATAAGAAATAATCTGGGCCGGGCGCGGTGGCTCAAGCCTGTAATCCCAGCACTTTGGGAGGCCGAGACGGGCGGATCACGAAGTCAGGAGATCGAGACCATCCTAGGTTCAGTTAACCACATGAACAAGTTATAAAAAATACAAAAAACTAGCCGGGCGAGGTGGCGGGCGCCTGTAGTCCCAGCTACTCGGGAGGCTGAGGCTGGAGAATGGCGTGAACCCGGCCAGGAGGTCAAGGCTGCAGTGAACGTGGTTCCGGCCACAGCACTCCAGCCTGGGCGACAGAGCGAGACAAAAAAAAAAAAAAAAAAAAAAAGAAATAATCTGGTGTCTAGGATTTGTTTTAAAATACTCTTATCGGGGACAGGCAGGTGGGGCATGACACAGGAAGAAGACTGGGCAAGGCGGACCACGGGGTGCAGGCACAGGGGCCACCACCCCTCTCTACCTGTGTGTCCACAGCCTGGAGGGGCAGAAGCCCGGGTCAGGTCACATGTGAGGCAGGAGCAAGGACGGACTCCAGAAGACCCCGCTACAGCTGGCTGAGATGAATTCACTAACTGCTTTTGCAGAAGTCTAATGTGAGAAGTTACCTTTGTTTTGAAAGAGTAAATGCTCTGGACAGACAGACACGCCACCCACACAGACAAAGCTGCAGACCTGAGAAGGTGGATGTCCAACGTCTTGCCATGAAGCCCCAGGACCTCATACCTCCACCTGGTAGGTGACAGCACAAGATGGCCTACTTTGGGGCCCCGTGCAGCTCCCAGGGATGGCGGGAAGTGGTGCTTATTCCAGAGCCAGTTACAACCTCCTTCTTTTTTTCTTTTTGGGGACAGAGTCTCACTCTGTCGCCCAGTCTGGAGTACAGTGGTACGATCTCAGCTCACTGCAACCTCTGCCTCCCAGGTTCAAGCAATTCTCCTGCCTCAGCTTCCCAAGTAGCTGGGATTACAGATGCACACCATCGCGCTCGGCTAATTTTTGTATTTTTAGTAGAGACAGGGTTTTGTCATGTTGGCCAGGCTGGTCTTGAACTCCTAACCTCAAGTGATCTGCCCAGCTCGGCCTCCCAAAATGCTGGGATTACAGGCATGAGCCACCACACCCGGCCAGAAACACTCCTTCAAATTCCAGTTCTCAGACGGGCAAAACCCCCACTGCTCCACATGTGTTGCACAGAAGAGTCACAAATGCTGTTCCCACGGCCTGAGGATGAGTCACACAGCCAGGCCCACAGCAGGACACGTCAGTATCCACCATGACAGTGCCCCAAATCACATGGGCTTTGCACATTTACCTGTTCAGTTTTTCTTGCAATGAGATTGCCAATGGTCTTGCTGAAAAAACTGGCGAGCAGAGGATTGAGAGGCGGCTCATGGTCCAGGAAGTCATACAGGAGGCTCAGCAGGCTCTCGTCCCCACCGAGGCGGTCGCTGATCTGTGGCACATCACAAGTCAGAAGCTCACAGGCTGTGTTTGGATATCTAAAAGGGCACAGTCCAAGCACTGGAGGTGAAATTAGACTTCTCCAACTCTTAGGAAGCTGCTTACATAGTCTGTTTCTTAGGAAGCAGACCCACGTGATAAAAACTATAGACCTCAGAACAGAATAAAAACGTGACTACCTGTGACCAGCTAGAAGTTTTTTAACATACCTTCTATGCTCCTCATGCCCTATATGCTGATATCCGACATTTTCTGACCCTACTCCCATTCTTTAAATAACTTTTCTCAGTCTTCCGGCTTCTCCTCTCTCCAGGCCTTCACACTCACCTGCCAGGTCTCTCACCTCCTGTCTAATCACACTGTTTCCGTGAGGACACGTCTGTGACCATTTCCATCTTCCCCTCCACTGAGCCTCTCCTCTCCCTCTAAGCCGTGACTTTTCCATCAACAAACACAGACCCAATCCATCCCCAGACGGGAGACACACCCCCTCAGCAGGTCAGGAAGCAGCATGAGGGACGAGGCACTATGCACTCGGAAAGCAGTGTGAGGGACGAGGCACTGTGCAAGAACTTTATGACTAGGAAATACCAACACCTGTGAATAATGCACTTTTCATCTGATTAAAATGACCAGATACAAAACAATCCACAGCCCAGTGCATATGATCCCATGATGACATCACTGTGCTCCCTCTTTTGCACCTGGTAGACAAAGGTGGGTGATGGCCATCGCCCTAGGAAAGGCACACCCCACAGCCCACACAGCCCTCAACAGCAGCCCCCATAGCAAGGCCTGGCAGGTGATCCTGCCTCTGGGAATGCTGGAGAGAAGCACAGGGCCCAGCAGGCAGGAACCCAGTGGGAGCAACCCGTAGGAATGGCTGTCTCAGAACAGGCCTGTCCCAACACCAGGAAGTGACCTGTCCTCTCTGTGTCTGGGTTTTCCCATCTGAACGTGCAGGTGAGGACAGGCACAGTGGCTCACATCTGTAATCCCAGGACTTTGGGAGGCTGAGACGGGTGAATCACCTGAGCTCAGGAGTGGGAGACCAGCCTGGGCAACATGGTGAAACCCTGTCTCTCCAAAAAAAGAAAAAGAAAAGAAAGGAAAAATTAGCCAGGCGAGGCAGCGCGTGCCTGTGGTCCCAGCTACAGGGGAGACTGAGGTGGCAGGATGGCTTGAGCCCGGGAGGCAGAGTTTGCAGTGAGCTAACAACACACCACTGCACTCCAGCCTGGGTGGCAGAGTAAGACCCTGACTTAAAAAAAAAAACAAAACCAATGCCAGGTGCAGTGGTTCACACCTGTAATCCCAGCACTTTGAGAGGCCGAGGCAGGTGGATCACCTGAGGTCAGGAGATCGACACCATCCTGGCCAACATGGTGAAACCCCATCTCTACTAAAAATACAAAAATTAGCCAGGTGTGGTGGTGCACGCCTGTAGTCCCAGCTACTTGGGAGGCTGAGGCAGGAGAATCACTTGAACCTGGGAGGCGGAGGTTGTAGTGAGATGAGATGGTGCCACTGTACTCCAGTCTGGGTGACAGAGCAAGACTGTTTCCAAAAAAAAAAATAAAAAAATAACGTGCAGGTGACAGTGCCTGCCCATGCCTGTCGCACAGCAAGTGTGTGCTCAAGGTCAGCTGCTATGACCTTCCTTCTCTTGCCAACATGTGGCTGGTGCCAGGTGCAGAGGCAGCCTTAGCACTGGACCTAAGCCAAGGTGGTCGCTGTGACTGGCTAGAGGGGTTTGGGTTTGAGAGACTCTATAGGAAACAGCTGGCCAGGCCTGGTGGCCGACCAAGTGTGGAAGGGGAAGAAACGCAATGACCTCGGCTGGCTGCGGGGTGGGTGTTCCTCATCAGCCCAGACAAGAAAGTGCCACTTTTAGAGCTCTGAAGAACAGCGTCTGTAAGGGCAGGTGGAATGTAGAGGGTCAAAGAGTGGCCCAGCAGGCGTGGGTTGGGGAGACAGGACCTGGTTGGGGCCTGATTGAGTAGGGCATCAGGGCACAGGGGCGCTGCAGGCTGGATGTGTGGGCAGATAGGGGGCCTGAGAGGTGGGCGCAGGGGGGCTGGGGCAGGCCTGGGCTCATCCCCTCACTAGCCGACCTTTCTGGCCTTTAGTTTCCTTGTCTGTTAATTAAGGCAGGCAGTACCCACCTTGTGGGATGTCATAGGGGCTGGCCAACAAGTACCTGGCACAGTGGACAACACATGGCCCCTCAGGGCAGAAGGACCAGAGAGCAGGAGAGGAGGGCCGGGCTGGCAGCCTCAAAGGCCACAGCGAGGCCCCAGGTCTACCAGATCTCTAACACTAAGACCGGTGTGCTGGGCAGGGGGAAGAAGTCACATCCCATGGGGTGAGGAGGAAGATCAAAAGTGAGGAAGCAGAGAAACGTCCAAATCATTCCTTGAAAAAGTATCTCAATACTATAGGGAACAAATTGATTTTTTTTTTTTTTTGAGATGGAGTCTTGCTCTGTTACCAAGGCTGGAGTGCAATGGTGCTATCTCAGCTCACTGCAACCTCTGCCTCCCGGGTTCACGCCTGTCTCAGCCTCCTGCATAGCTGGGATTACAGACAGGCACTACCATGCTCGGCTAACTTTCGTATTTTTGGTAGAGACGGGTTTCACCATGTTGGTCAGGCTGGTCTCGAACTCCTAACTTCAAGTGATCTGCCTGCCTCGGCCTCCCGAAGTGCTGGGATTACAGGCGTGAGCCACCAAGCCCAGCTCCAAACTCATCTTGTCTACACACGGACAAACATATGCACACATGGCACAAACCAAGCTAGAAGACGCTGATTCTCTAGATGGAGGGACTAAGATTTTCTCCTTTTTTCCTTTATCAACATTTTACAATTATTCTTCAAATAACAGGTGCTGCTCTAGTAGTTTAAAAACTTACACAAGGTACAGAAATTCCACAGCATATGGAGCACACAGGCTTGTTGATATTCCCTCTGAAACTCCATCTCAAACAACACGAAGAATTAAAAAGACAAGAAAAGAGAGGCAGAAACGACAAACCAGGCCCGGAGGCCCGAACCAGCCGGCCACGTGAAGACGGCCTTGGCACAGGGAAGGCTGAACTTCAGGAGCCCACAAAAGGGGCACCAACTAGAGATGAGAATTCAGGCCACAGAACTCCAGAGAGGCCTGGACATTGATTTGGCGGTCAGCAAGGGCAGGGTGGGCTGAAAACTCACAGGCCAGGGCAGTGGGACATGTCCCTCCCTTATGGCCTCCTGGGATCGGTGGGCCAGGGACGACAGGCACAGCTGCAGGGTGATCAGACACCATCCAGAAATAGGGGACTGGGAAAAAAAAAACAACACTGGGGTGCCCCCAACCCTCTCCCCAACTCAGCTCCTGATACTAACAGGTCCATGCCCCACAGGGGGGAGCTAGGATTCTTTTCTGGGAAAAATAATGAGACAAAGAGAAAAGTCAACTAGTGGCCTCTAAGCTTGTGGTGAGTAAGCCCCAGGCAGATCCCAAACTCTGTGCAGGATTTAGGGCCCCACTCAGGAAAGCAGCATGGTGCTGACCAAGCAGAAAACAAGGCAGAGGAGAGTGAGTGACAAGGAGGAGAGTGAGTGTAGAGAACAGAAGACGAGGCATGCAGAGGACAGCGAGTGTAGAGAACAGAAGGAAACTCTTTTAAACTATAACGTTCTCAGAGATGACACATTGAGACTGTGTATACATGAATAAGAACTGGAAGCTTTTATTAAAATATCTGAGAATAAGAAACAGCTCTTAGAAATTAAAAATATGGGCCAATCGCGGTGGCTCACGCCTGTAATCCCAGCACTTTGGGAGGCCGAGACGGGCGGATCACGAGGTCAGGAGATCGAGACCATCCTGGCTAACACGGTGAAACCCCGTCTCTACTAAAAAATACAAAAAACTAGCCAGGCGAGGTGGCGGGCGTCTGTAGTCCCAGCTACTCGGGAGGCTGAGGCAGGAGAATGGTGTAAACCCGGGAGGCGGAGCTTGCAGCGAGCTGAGATCCGGGCACTGCACTCCAGCCTGGGCGACAGAGCGAGACTCCGTCTCAAAAACAAAAACAAAAACAAAAACAAAAATTAGCTGGGTGTGGTGGCGGGCGCCTGTCGTCCCAGCTACTTGGGAGGCTGAGGCAGGAGAATGGCATGAACCCCGGAGGCGGAGCTTGCAGTGAGCCGAGATTGTGCCACTGCACTCCAGCCTGGGCAAGAGAGCGAGACACTCTATCTCAGAAAAAAAAAAAAAAAAAAGATTAAAAATATGACAGATGTTAAGCATGGTGGCGAGCGCCTGTGGTTCCAACTGCTTGGGAGGCTGAGATGGGAGGATCACCTGAGCCCAGGAGTTTGAGTCCAGACTGGGCAACATAGCAAGACCTCATGTCTAAAACACAAACACAAAATAATGGTAGAACTTTGAAAAGTCAATAAAAGGACGAGAACTTAAAAGATGAAGAAATCTCTCAGATGTAGGCCAAAAAGGCAAAGTACAAAACATTAAAAGCAAAAATAAGGAAAGCATTAACTTGAGTGATCTAACACCTGATTAGAAGTCCCAGAAAGAGAAAAGAGGGAAAATATCAAAGAAATAATATGAGAAATTTCCCTCAGCTAACGTCATAAATGTACAGACTAAAACGGTTCAGGGAGCCCAGCACGACACATGAAGGAAATGGATATCCACTGTGGACCTCAGTGTGAATATGCACATATTGTCTACTGCTGAGCTGATTTGTTTACTTGGGGTATATCTGCTTACTTATAAAACTCTTCCCTTAGAGTTAGTTTTTCTCATTGCTCTGTTTGCTTGATTTTGTACTTATCTATTACTAAATTCTCCCAAGCTCTGACTTTCATGAAACTCTCTTGGCTCTTCTGAGGCAGGAGAAACCCCGTCTCTACTAAAAAATACAAAAAACTAGCTGGTTCTGGGATCCTGTTCTGGGATCCTCGGTCCTGACTCAGAGAATAATTCCACATTATTGGGAAATTCAGGAACAACAGGTCTTAGAAAAGAACC